ATTTGTATTCCACAAGGTATGACCAAGATCCAGCCATAGCGGTATTTTATAATCCCATTTGAGTCGGTGCTTCTTCCATACTCTCATCAAAGAGTCTCTAAGTATATGATTTTTAAATACTTTATCAACTTTGTCATCATAAAATAAGTAAGCGTGCCATCCAAATTCAAGATCAAAACTTTCTGCATTCAATATTCCAGCCTTTTTACTTCCAAACCAATCACTTGTTAAGGTTAAAGCTGCTGCATCATAATATAGCTGTAGGTTTGGAAGTTTAAGGCCTCCTCTTTCTGGAACATCTTGCATAATTTTCAATTTCACTCTCGGTTTCTTCTCGTTCCAGACAAACTTATTCACTCCAGATTGCCAAACTTTCAGATGTTTATCACTTTTAAGCACCGGAATCATTTGAAACAAAAAAAGAAATCTTGGCAAAATATTCATCTTAACTGCTGCTATTCTTCCAAGTAGAGACAGCTGCAGTTTTTTCCAAGTCTCCATATCTTTCTGCACCTCTCGCCACAACACCTCATAGTTATTTTGAAACAATTTCATGTTTGATTCTGCAACCTGAACTCCTAGATATTTTACCTTAGGTACAGTCTCAAAACCTGCCCTCCTTTCAAGCTCATGTTTACGATCTTGTGTCATGTTTTTAGCTATCATTTTAGTCTTTTTTGGATTCAATCTGAAACCTGAAACTTTACCATAATCTTGTATAATGTCCTTCATCAAGATTATTGATTCCATTGGTTGTGATAGGGTAACAACCAGATCATCTGCAAATGCCTTTATTCTGTAATCCTCTTGCCTAATCTTTATACCTTTCAAGATATTAGAGTCCCGTATTGTATTTAACAAGACTTCTAGTGTTAAAATAAATAAAAGTGGGGACAACGAGCATCCCTGTCTTGTTCCTTTTTCAATTTTAAACTCTGTTGTCAAACTTCCATTAATAATAATCTGTGCCTTTTGCTCTTGATAAATTGCCGAAATCGCCTGTATAAATTGATCCCCAAAGTCCATCTTTTTCAAAGTCTTTAATAGAAAATTCCAATCCACTCTATCAAAGGCCTTCTCTGCATCCAAAAAAACCAGCACTGCAGGGATCTGTTTATTCTTCTCAAGATATTCCAATAAATTTATTACTTGCCTTACATTGTCCTTCATATATCTGCCCTCGATAAATCCCGCTTGATCATCATGAATCACCTCTTGAATTACTGGCATCAATCTGTTGGCTAATACTTTTGCATAAATTTTATAGTCATTATTTAAAAGAGATATTGGTCTATAATTTTCCGGTTTTTTAGGACCTACTTGTTCTTTTGGTATCAAAGTAATATATGCTGATTTCCATGATGGGGGTATTTTACCCCCTTGTTGTATATTGCAAAATAAGTCTCTAAGTTGTTCCACCATTTCTGCTTGTAAAGTTTTATAATACACTGCAGTCAATCCATCTGTTCCAGGAGCTTTAGCTGTTTTCAATTGTTTAATTGCTGCAATTATTTCCTCAACTGTTATAGGGTAGTTCATTCTTTCTTTTTGTTGACTAGTAATTTTTAAGACTCTTTTCTCTTCTAGATATTTTTCTATAAGTCTATTCTGTATATCATCTTTAGCATATAATTTAGTGTAGTAGTCTACAAAGACTTCTTTAATCAATTTTTGTTGAGAAATTTCTTTCCCTCCAATATCAATACTCTCAATAGTCCGTATACTCTGCTTCTTCCTTAAGGTGTAGGCCAACCATCTTCCCGGTTTATTAGCATTACAAAACGTATTATGCTTCGCATATTGTAAGTTTGTTGCAGCTTGCTCCGCCAAGAGCATTTGAAATTGATCTTTCAAAAGTTTTATAGCACCAGATATTCTTTCATCTGTTGGGTTTTTAATGAGTAGCTGTTCCTTATTCTTTATTTCTACTTCCAATTCGAGTCTTTTCTTTTGTCGGTTCTGTTTGTGTTTAGAGTTCATATAAATGAGTACCCCTCTCATATACGCTTTACTCGCATCCCATACAATTTCAATTGGGGTGCCCTTATTCAAGTTCATCTCAAAAAATTCTTTCATCTGTTTTTTAAGTTCTGTTATATTTTTTTCATATCTAAACAAATTTTCATTTAATCTCCATGACCTTCTCTCAGTTTTTCCCATCTCAATTTCTATCCATACAGAACTATGATCAGTTAAAGTTCTTGGAAATATCTTTGTTCTTTTTGTTTTAACAAGTAAATCATCTGATAGCAAGATAAAGTCAATCCTGGAAAAAGATCTATGTCTATCAGAGAAAAAAGTATAGTCCAATTCTTTTGGGTTATAAATTCTCCAAATATCTTTTAATTCCAGATCTTCTTTCATATCAAAAAAAGTCTGTGGTAGTCTGATCCTTACTTTCGCCAAACTCTTTTTATCTAGTTTAGAATCAATTACTCCATTCCAATCTCCCATTATTAAAATAGATCTATAATCCCATTGCAATATTTTATTATGTAAAGTCTTATAAAAATGATCCTGTTGTTGGTTCGGAGCATAAATTCCAATCAGAAGAATTTGGCCATTTGCTGTGTGCAATTCAATTGCAATAAACCTACCACCTTCATCTGCTTCTATAATTTTAGCAGACAATCTTTTATTTACATAAATAACCACACCATTCTTTTTTTCCGAGTTTGAAGCTATAAAATGTGTTCCTAATTTAGAGTTTATCAGGTATTTGTGATCTTGAGTTCGAATATGAGTTTCTTGTAGACAAATTATGTCATTATTAAATTGTCTCAGATATGTAAATAACTTGTTCCTTTTTTGTGGTGAGTTTAATCCGTTAACATTCCAAGATAAGAGCCTAATTGTCATCTTGTCCTTTCTGAAGCGATGAGCTGCCTTGCCTCGCTTCTTCTGAGGTCTTCGGCCTTGCTCCCCCCATAGCTTCACTTTGTGTGGTGCTTTTAGCTCCCCCTTTATGTTGACTTACTTGTTGTTGTTTTTCTTTTATTTGCTTGGAGACTGCACGAGTTATACGCTGGTCCTTAACTTCAGGTATCCGAGCTAAATCCAAAGCAGCATCTCTTGTTGACAAAATTGGTGAAGATTCTAGCAGGGATTCCTCCATAAGGCCTCCTCCTCCTACAGCTCCCTGCATTTCCGCTAATTCCGTCTGCTTGGACTGTTGTTCCCTCTCATGCTGAAATTGCTTTTCCTTATCACTTTTTATCTCCAACATTGTAGATGTACGTGGGGATGATGATCTTTCTTTAAGAATATTGTAGTAAAAATATTCCGCCTTCTGAAAAGTATTCAATCGGTGTCCTTCTCCATTATATTTCAAAATTATACCAGTTGGGGCATCCCACCGGAATGGTATTTCTTGCTTTTGCAATTCATTCACTAGAAACCTATATTCTTTTCGATCTTTTAACATCTTAGGTGGTAATTCCTTGTAAACTCCAATTTGAGCTCCCTCCACTTGCACAGAGGAAAGAAAGGATCTTTGCAAAATATCATTTCTTATTCTTCTATCTGTAAAATATATCACCACATCTCTGGGTAATTTTCTTTGTCTAGCCACCCATGAATTTACTCTATAAATTTTATCTATTTTATAGACCACGTCTGCTGGATCAATTTTTAACAATACAGCCAAGGCATCAGAACAAATCTGTCTCAAATCTTGCCTGTCATTCTCTTTTATTCCTCGCAGTCTAATAGCGAATTCCATGGATCGAAACTGTATCATTGTAATTTCATTTTCAACTCTCTGCACTTTATTATCCACATCAACAATTTTAGAATCAGTATCCTTCATTTTAACGTTAACTTCTGATTTAAATTCTTCCAGTTTGGAATCCACTTTGCTAATGGTTTCTGCCAAATCAGAAACCACATTTGTCAATTTGTCAGTCACCTTATCATAATTCTCTTTCATTACCTCTTTAAATTCATTAATTTCTTTCTTCATTTCCTGTTGTGATTTTTGAAATTTATCATCCAGAGCCTGGGTAATAAAGTCCTTCAAACTTTGAACATCAAAGTCCTTTCCCTCACCCTGCTGGCTGGGAGGGGGCTGCTGTTCCGGTTTATGAGTGGGAGATCCCTCCCCTGCCGCCTTTCCTTCCTGTTTCTTTGAAGCCATTCTGCCACGTAAATTAACTTTTCTGAAAAAAGGAAGTCTTTTTTCCTTTGCACCTCCACAAAGTCCTTTGAAAAAGTCCCCCAGATTTAATCAAATTAGAAATTGAGTAAGCTGAAGCAAGCTCAGGTTTATTTTAAAAGGAATTTTTTCTTCCACTCTTCTCTGTTCACTTGCTACAAGCAGTGCTACAATGTAGCTTATTGAAAAAACTTTGCAAGATCACTCTCCCTTTCAGCTCGTTAACGCTGGAACGGCGCCATTTTTTTCAAGCCGTTTCCGCTCACTCTAGCCTTTTCCCAAATCAAAAGTTCAAAAACAAAGAGTTACTTGCAGTTTCTTGGTTTGGGGGTTGAGGTTGTTTTATAACAAAGTTATTTTTCCATCAATTTAAATGTTTGCTGCAGCCGGCTTGCTCTGACAAGCAGAGTCGTCCCACGCCGTCCGGAGTCTCCGCAAGTTGAAAGGGAGCCGCGCCCGTTTCCTCCCCAGTAGCAAACTTCTGGGGGTTCACAGGGGCTCGACCTGCCTCTTGCTTCACTCTTCTCCTCGAATCCTCAGGATTTAGGAGTTTTCAAGCCGCTCCCCTCACTCGGAGCGGCTCTACAGGCGGCGGGGCTGGCGGTCCTTCAAAAACGACCGTCTTCGCCGGTGGCAGACAAACCCGGAAGTCCCGCAATACAGCAGTCTTAAACCTTACATTGATGGTTTATATATTGCCAACCCAACAAGTTAGGTAACAGTAATTTCCTAACAACACGCTTTGTGCTTAACTGCACCCTGAGCCTGTGTGAAATGATCTGCAATATTGTGTTCAGTCATGCAGTACTCCAACTGAATCAATTTACTTGCGGACAGAGGGACTTACTTGAAATTACTTTTCAAACTCCCGGCTGATCTTTTCATTTTCATGAGTAACCAACATCGAACATGTTCCAAAACCCCAGCAGCTTCTTTTGGGGCAAAAGGCCGTTTCATCGCTTAGCATTGCTGGCAAAGACAAAGAGTTTTCTGTTAAAATTATTTATATTTAGCCTTTCCAAGGGAAACCCAGGCCCAGATAGTCAACAATGCAACACAAAAGCATTAGCTAGTTCCCAACTTACAACCATTCGTTTGGTGACCATCCGAGGTTACAACAGGCCCTGAAAAAAGTGGCTTATGACCATTTTTCACACTTACGACCATCGCAGAGCCTCCCCGTTGGGAAATTTTTGATCCTGACAAAGGGCTGCAAAAGTTGATGGAGTGAGCAGAGATGGCTAAATGGGCTGCTTTGATCCAAGAAAAAAAAATATGAATAAATACTTTTATTCCTACTTGGAAACCGCTTCTGGACTTTTCTGAGGGAAAAATGAAACTTTGATTTTGGGTTTGATTGATTAGATCAGTGTTTCTCAACCTTGGAAGCTTGAAGATGGGTGGACTTCAACTCCCAGAATCCCCCAGCCAGCAGCGAAACTCACTTCACAAATGTTTCACTTAACAGCAGCGCTGGCTGGGGGATTCTGGGAGTTGAAGTCCACCCATCTTCAAGCTTCCAAGGTTGAGAAACACTGGATTAGATAAACTTGCTGTTGTAGAAACAGCTGGTTTAAACTATTATGTAAAAGTAAAAAAGTTTGACGTTGGATGTTACTGTTTTATTCTACTGCACCAAAGGGAGTCGGAAGTCAATGCTATTTCTTTCTTTTTTTATTTTTCCCTTCTCTACTTTTCCTACTATTTGCTTTTGTATTTTTTTGTATAACATAAATTAATAAAAGAATAAGAAGCAAAGATGCAACAGTCCACAAATGTAGTTTTAGCATTAAATTTAGACAAACATTAAAAACAATAAGCACAAATGCATTATTAACAGGGACAAACAGATGATGACAAAGAGAATTTATTATTTCCTTCTTATCTCAGGAAAGAAAAAAAAAAGAGATTTCTACCTTCAACAATAAACACCCTTCCCCCATTGATGCTCTTAATTAAAGCTAATAGTTTTATTAAAGCTGAAATATTTACTTCTTACCAAAACCCCATAATACAAAAGAAGTAGGATGTGATATTTCAGCACATTTAAATGAGTCTACCTTTCAAACTCTGAAGTAAATTACAGAATACAGATAATCCTCGACTTACAACAATTCAGCCCAAAGTTTCTGTTGCTAAATGAGGCATTTGTTAAGGGAGTTTTTTGCCCCATTTTACAACCTTTCTTGACACCGTCATTAAGGGAATCGCTGAAGTTGGCAAAACGGTTAAGTGAACCGCCAAAGGGGATCATATGATCCTGGGACACTGCAACAGTCATAAGTACATGCCTGTTGCCAAGCTTCTGAATTTTGATTATGAGACCACGGGGAATGCTGCAAAGGTTGAAGTGTGAAAAACCATCATACATTACTTTTTTCAGTATTGCCATAACTTTGGACAGTCACTAAAAGAATTGCTGTAAATCGAAGGATTATCCTTATAGTAAGCAGAACAGCTGTCTTTATACAGCTTGCCTAATTCACGAGATCTGAGCGCGTCCCTAGCTCTCAACTATTTAGGCTAAATTTCCCTAATCAAACTCCTGACCTGAATTTAGGATCTGTTGATCAGCAGTCCTTTATATCGGCAAAACCAACGATGGGAAGAAGAACGAAACAGGCCCAACGTAGAACAGAAAAGAAAAGAGTTCCAGATTTATATACCTCACGTTTCAACAGGCATTAAGAAACCATCAGTCATCAGGAAACTTAAGATATACCACTTCCTTTTCCTGAAGTCCTCCCATCCTTTGCAGAACACATACAATCCAAAAACTTTCTACTTCCTTCTAGAGCAGATTTAAGGGAATTTAACTAAATTAATTAAGCTTAAACGAGCACAATGCCTTTGATCCCTTGAGTGCAATAAAGCATGCTGGCCAACTCAGAAACATATGCAGGTAGTCCTCGTGTTGCAACAGAGGAGCCTGAGTGGCGTAGGAGGCTAATGCCTCCTACTAAGGCAGCATTTAACATCCAGCTGCCTGCAATTACTGCGAGTGCAAATCTCACCAGGCTCAAGGTTGACTCAGCCTTCCATCCTTTCTAAGGTGGGTAAAATGAGGATCTGGTTTGTGGGGGCAATAAACTGACTTTATATAAAATATACAAAAGTATGAAGGCTATTGCTCAACGCATTGTAAGCCACCCTGAGTCTACGGAGAAGGGCGGCATATAAAAATAAATAAAACCAAACAAAACAAAAACAAACAGTTCATTTAGTGACTGTTCAAAGTTACCAATGGGATTGAGAAAAAAAGCGACTTATGACCATTTTTCACACTTACGCCCATTGCATCCTCCCGATCATGTGATCAAAATTTGGGCGCTCGGCAACTGTCCTGGGGTCACGTTTGTCCTTTGACGACCTCCTGACAAGCAAAGTCAATGGGAAAGCCAGATTCACTTAACAACCGTGTTGCCAACTTCAGTGATTCACTTAACGACTGTGGGAAGAACAGTCGTAAAACAGGGCGAAACTCACTTCACAAATGTTTCACTTAACAAACAGGAATGTTGAGCTCAATTGTGGTTGTAAGCCAGCCTGTAAAACAGAAGATTTCTTTCACTTAAAAGAATCGTGTTATTCCTTATTTTAAGGGATATAATATTCCAAGCCGTGCTTGAACGGGGGTGGGGTGGGGTTGGAGTGTTGGACTAGAAGACCTCCAAGGTCCCTTTCCCTTTCTGGACCTAGCCAAAGAAGTGGCTGGTCTCTTCTGTGCCAGATTTCGGGGAATCCACCCTCTGCGATGGGGGATTGCCCTTCACCCCATCATCTCTGAGTGTTCCCTTTTCTTTTGCTGTCCTCTACAAGGTCCAACTTTACTGTTGTTGGTCTCCAGATGCAAAAAAATGGGTAAAAAGAGTGGAGTTCCGTCTTCCTACATCACTCCGTGACGTCACCCTGGAAGTCTGAAAGATTTCATTTTTATTACTCTCTGCTTTGTTTGCGAAGGATATAATCTCCTGTTCTCTACTACAGGGACAAGAGCTAATAAAAATAACTTAGCCTGACTAGGTGGCTCAGGGGCTAAGACACTGTGCTTGTCGATCAGAAAGGTCGGCAGGTCGAATCCCTAGTACAGGCCTCCTGCATAAGCAGAGGGTTGGGCTAGTTGACCTCTAAGGTCCCTTCCAACTCTGTTACTGTTAACTAAAAAAAAAACCCCCAACAAACAAACCAGGATAACACCTTCAAACATCAGTCCAACCTAACAGATGTTACTGAATTTAAACCAGAGCTGTTCCTATTAGGTACTCTTCCAGAAAAGATTAGTAAGGTATATACTTATTTGATTATACATGTAATAACAGCTGCAAGAATTGTTTACGCTCAAAATTGGAAAGCAGAGAAAATACCTTTGGAAGATGAGGTGATAAAAAAAAAATTATGGATTGTGCAGAAATGAATAGATTGACTTTGATGATTAAAGATAGGGAAGAGATAGGGCATTATAGGATATGGAACTATTTTTAGTATTGGTTGGAAAAGAGATATAAAAGATAAAAGTTTTATGATTATATTTAAAAATTGGATAGGCAGAATTTTGCCTTAGTAAGGAGATATTAAAATGGTTTGTATAAAGATCAAGATAGAAGAAATTTCCTTTTTTGGAAGAAGAAGAAGAATGACTGAAGATAACACCGAGATGTCACAGGGAGGGGGCGACATACATACTAAATGTTTGTTTGTTTTTATAAAAAATAGTAAAAAGTTATATTTTAAAAAAAAGCATCAGTCCAACCTGACCAGCAGATGAAGACTAACTTCAGTGACTGACCCAGGCTGGATCTTGCAAGACCAACCTACAGTAATTTAACAGGAAAAAGTGAAGGAAAACCTCAGGATAATAATATTCCCAAGCATGTTTTCCAATCTGGACTAGAAAACCGAATAGAATAACAATTTTATTGTCACTTTGAAATGTACACTAATCGGCATGCATTAAAATGAAATCTCGTTGCATACAGCTCTCAAAGGCTCACCACCTCCCAATAGACACTACATGAATATGACAAAATAAGTAAATACCAACATGGAGAAAAGCAGCTTAGGGTTGCAAAAGATACATCACCGGAAGTTTGCAATCCGAGCTACTGAGCTGCCTGTTACTCCCTGGTGGAAGTTTATATCCTGCCTCCTACCTTCTGGTTCTCAACAGTCCTATTAATTTAATTTAATTTAATTAATTTAATTAATTAATTCAATTTATATGCCGCCCCTCTCCGAAGACTCAGGGCAGCTCACAATACATTTAAAAAAATCATTATAAAAAACATTTAAAAATTAATTGGGTCATTCTTCCTAGACAGTCAGCAAAATTATCTCCTCCTTCCTAGCATTTCTGGTTTTTGAGTGAGCAGAAACTAGAATTACTTGATAGTGTTTGGCTCCAGACATTCAAGGTATATAGGTAATCCTCGACTTACAACAGTCCGTTTTTCACATTTGTGACCATTGTAACGTCCCCATAATCAGGTGATTGAAATTCAACTGCTTGGCCACTGTCTCGTACTTATGACGGTTGCAATGTCTTGTGACTTTCAGACAAGCAAAGTCAAGGGGTGGGGAAGCTGGATTCACTTAACAACCGTGTTGCTAACTTGTCTCATAAAATGGGACAAAATTCACTTAATAACTGTCTTGCTTAGCCACAGAAATTTTGGGCTCAGTTGTGGTCGTATGTCGAGGACTATCTGTAGAGTCTTCCCAGGCTTAGGCCAAAAAGCTTGTTAACTTCGAACGGTCACTAAGTGAATTGTTGAAAGCTGAAGACAACCTGTAATTTAGCTATGAAATCTCATTATCTGAGAAGGATGGGTGGTTAAGAAATAGTATGGATGGATGGATAGGACAGCCACTTGTCTGAAATGGTATAGGATAGTGATGGCTAACCTTTTTGCCATTGCGTGCCAGGAAGGGGGGGCAGGGGGTTTTGCATGTGCGTGTGCCCACACCCATAATTCTATACGCCCCGCCCTGCGCATGCATGCGCAACCCCCCTCCCCCCTGCTCCTGGCATGTGATGGCCCGGTAGGCCCGTTTTTCTTTCTCCAGATCCTCTCTATGCATCTGGGGAGGGCAAAAACAGCCTTCCCCACCTCCTTGGAGGCCCTCCGGAGGCAGGAAACAGCCTGTTTCTCTACTTCTGGCCCAGAAGACTCGAAAATCAGCTGGCCGGAGCTCAGCTGGCATGCCAGGCGACATGACTCCATGTGCCACCTGTGGCACACATGCCATAGGTTCGTCATCACGGGTATAGGGCAGTAATAGTGAACCTTTTTCAGACCGAGTGCCCAAACTGCAACCCAAAACCCACATATTTATCTCGGAGTGCCAACATGGCAATTTACCGTACTTCTCGGAGTATAAGACACATTTCCCCCCCCCAAAAAAAGAGGTTGGAAATGTTGGTGCGTCTTATATACCAAATACAGCCATTTTTGGCCTCCCAAAGCCCTGCCCCGCACGTCCCACTTTTCCGTCCCGTTTTTGCTTTGTAACTGGTTCATATTCATTTTGAAATGTCCCAGGGTCATGTTGCAATTTTTGCAACTTTCTGACAAGCAGCTACTGTATAAATATAACTAATAATGGTCTCAGGACCCCTTCGCATTCTGTATCTTCACATATATGGGGGTGACATGATACCAGTGCTCCAATATCTCAGGGGTTACTACAAAGATGAAGGGACCAAGCTATTCTCCAAAGCACCTGAGGGCAGGACAAGAAGCAACGGATGGAAACCAATCAAGGAGAGAAGCAACCTAGAAATATGATTTTTTTTTTTTTTGACACTTAGAACAATTAACCAGTGGAACAACTTGCCTCCAGAAATTGTAAATGCTCCAACACAACGTAAGAGACTGGACAACCATATGTCTGAAATGGAATAGGGTCTCCTGCTCAAACAAGGGGTTGGACTACAAGACCTCCAAGGTCCCTTCCAACTCTTATTCTGTTAGTCAAACTCTCTATCCATTCAACATCGGAAGATAAAAGTTGTGCGAATGTAAGAGGAAGGAGAGGAGTTAATATATATTGGGACTCCCGAGCAAAGCTGCTAAATAAATATAAGTAATAATGATTCCACTCCAGGTAGCACACCCCTGTTAGGTTTACATTGTTCTCTAAAGTTAGGTGCTTTTCTTCATAATATTTGCTTTTTATCAAACTCCTTCAAATTTGAATTCATCTGTCACCAATATGCCTTCCACCTATTTTAAAATAGCCAAAAAGCACCCAATTCTGAATCACAACAGGCAAGGTAGATGATTCTTAGCAATATATTTAACAACACACTATTTGATTGAAATTGGATTTTTTATATATTAGTCAAATAAAGTAAATAAAACACGAAAAAAGAATATTTAAAAAAAACTCTGCTTTTAACAATACTTATTCCCTCTCAAATAAATTTACATTAGAATGAAGTTCATAAAAGGTAAATGGAATTGTAGATTTTTGAAAAATCGTGCAATGCACGATTGCACATTGACTGAATCTATTATGAAATAATATAGTGGCACTCAAAATAATACAGTTGACACACAAAATGGCAGAAAGGTTTGAGACATTCCTAAGCATTTTGAAGAAACTTGCAGGATTCAGGGCATGGGGGAAGAGTGATTAATGCCTTCATGAAATCAAATGATTCTGAAGTTTCTATTCTGAATTTTTTCTTGTTGGTGTGATAAAATATACTGCTCAAAAAAAATAAAATAAAGGGAAGACAAGCAGAAGACATCCGAGATCTGAATGAATAAAATAGCCTTATTAAATACTTTGTTTGTTACATACAGTAGTTTATACACTGCTCAAACAACTAAAGGGAACACAAAACTACTGTATGTAACGAACAAAGTATTTAATAAGGCTATTTCATTCATTCAGATCTCGGATGTCTTCTGCTTGTGTTCCCTTTATTTTTTTGAGCAGTGTATATTCCATTTGTATCTGCTATCTTGGGTCAAAAGTCAAGACTTCCTACAAATGGGTTTTTCAGAGACTCACAGGTACCAATTGCATCAACTGCTGTCTTGTTATCCTGCAAAAGTACAGTTGAAAAGAATGTTTTCCTAACACTGCTGCAACTGCAACTTCCAGATTGCCAAAGCCACAACAACAAAGCCACAAGGATCACTAATGATACAAAATGTTTCCATTTTTCTGCAGCTTCCCCCCCAGCCTTTTCAAGGAACTCAATTTTAAAGCCCGTTTTAATTTTTCTGGATGATCAGGAAAGACAGATTTGTTTGTTTTTTTACCCAAGGAGCTAGAAAATGAAAATTCGTTTAAATTTTTAAATGAATGACTTAATTTTAATTTCTCTACCTCCTTGGGAAAACAGTTCTCCCCTACAAAACCTTCCTGATCATCCACGCTTTGCAACCCCCCCCATCCCACCCCCGCCAGATTTAGGACAAAACCCTTCAGGGATAAACCCCAGCCACTCATCCGCCCCCCTCCCCAAGGACTACAAAGCCTACACTCCCCAGCCAACCCATCCCCGGCCGGAATCCCAGCCTTCTTCCAATAGCAAGTGAAAAGAGGCCAATGGAGTCCCGCGCATCGGGCAGGGGCGCAAATCGACCCCTCCCCATTCTACAAACCCCCAAAGAACCCCCCCCCGACACACACACACCATTTATTATTATTATTTTTGTAAGGCTTAGCCAAAGGCAGGTTGGAATTTTGCCCCGTGCAAGATTTTTGCAAGCCCCCTCTTTTGCAAAAAGAGGATTTCCACCCCACCCGCAATTTTTGCAAAGCTGAGCAGGTGCCCCGCTGCAATTGCCCCCCCCAAAGCCTCCCACCTGCGCTTCAGCCCGCGGAGGCTGCGAGCTCATCGGTTCGGTCCCAGATGAAGGAAAGGTGCGCTTGCACCAAGCTGCAGCCCAGCATTTATGGAGCTTTGACGGACGTGTGGCTCGGGCCAATGGTCGGCTGCGAAAGGGGGAGGCGGGACCGTCTGGATCACAGACTTAGAAAGGGGTAGAAAAGCCCTCCGCTTCCTCTTCCTTCGAAAAAGAAAGAAGAGAATTGCTTGTTTCTTTTGAAGCCCGGGCTGCAATGCCCAAGGTGGACGCTGGGGGCGGTCGCGAGACACGGAACCCGCTTTGCTCTTTGGCGCCGCCTGGCGGTGCTCGGTTTTTTTTTTTTATTGCGCTTGTAAATTAAATCTCTAACCTGGACATTATACAGGTAGCCCCACTTCAATTTAGGACCACAAATGAGCCCAGAATTTCTGTTGCTAAGTGGGGAATGGGTTAAATGAGTTTTGCCCCATTTTATGACCTTTCTTGCCCCTGTTGGTTAAGTGAATCGTTCTGATTGTTAAGTTAGTGACACGGTTGTTAAGCGAGTCTGGTTTCCCCACGGACTTTGCTGGTCAGAAGGTCGCAAAAAGGGATCACGTGACCCCAGGACATTGCGACCGTCATAAATTTGAGTCAGTGTGTCAGGTCAAATCACATGACTGACTGTGAGGATGCTGCAACCATCGTAAGGGTGGAAAACGGTCACTTTTTTTCCATGCTGTTGTAACTTCAGTCACTCAATGAACTGTTGTTAAGTCGGGGACTACCTGTTTTAACAACTCAAATAAGAGTTCTTCTCTTTTAATTGTAATCTGTAGCCCCATCTAGTGTTGCAACCTATCACTTTGTTTTTTCCAGACGTCAAAACATAAAACCATTTTCCCTTCTGGGAAGCCATTCATTCAATTAATTTTAAAAGACCCATTTCAAATTAAATTTGAGACCCAAAATCCATTTACAAGTTTCCAGATGTAACACTCCCCATCCGCTCTCTGGCTTCCATAAAGCATTGTGAATTTCCTATGTGCCTTTCAGCTGGAATTTCTACCTCTTTGTTTTCAAATGCCTTTTGAAATTCAAAACAAATAAACTGCTTTTTTGGGGGGGGTATTTTATCTTCTCTTCTTTTGGAAATAAAGGTTGGAGTTTTTTCCCAGCTTCTTCGGGGGGACGAGGGGAGTTTGCCAAACTCCCAACCAGAGGTGGGTTTCTGCCAGTTCTGAGAACCGGTAGAAATTTTGAGTAGTACAGGAGAACCGGTAGTAAAAATTCTGACTGGCCCCGCCCCCATCTATTCCCCACCTTCCGAGTCCCAGTTGATCAAGAGGAAATGGGGATTTTACAGTATCCTTCCCCTGGAGTGGGGAGGGAATGAAGATTTTACAGTATCCTTCCCTTGCCACGCCCACCAAGCCACGCCCACCAAACCATGCCACGCCCACAGAACCGGTAGTAAAAAAATTTGAAACCCACCATTGCTCCCAACAGGAAAAAATACGAGCTGAATCCAGCCTAAAGGCCCTCCAGGACATGACAAGCTCTGTTGGAAATGACTTGTAATTTTTAATTTTTATCTTTTATTGCTAGAAAGGCACAGGTGTTTCTTTCACATTTTTAGGTCTGGGGGCTAGATGCCAGCCGTGGATCCCAGAAAGGTAGCATGGTTGGCTGGGGAATTCTGAGAGTTGAAATCATACCTCTTAAATAAGCACCTGGTACAAATGAGCTCACCCACCCACCATTTTACTCACAACTATCCTTAGAGAAAGGGATTGCCCCAAGACCACCCCAAAAACACCTCCAAACAATTGGAGACCCCTGAAGCAAGAGATGCAGACACTGGCTTGCATGCTTCACTAAAGATGACGTGTGGAGAGACCAGTTCAGATTGTTAGGGCGCAGATAACTAACAATTTGAACTGGTCTCTCCACACGTCATCCGTAGTGAAGCTTGAAAACCAGGGTCTGCATTTCCTGTGTCGGATGAGGAGAGCACATCTTCCTGTCCTGCCCACTTTTTACAGAGGCACCATTGAGAGCTTTTTAACAAACTGCATCCCTGTTTGGTTTGGTGGCAGCAGCACCTCAGATAGAAAGTCCCTACAGAGAGCAGTGAGGACAGTGGAGATTATAGGAAGCATATTTCCCATTATTCAGGATACTGCACTTAAAGCTCATAGCATTGTTAGAGACCCCACACAACCACTTCACGGTCTGTTTCTGTTGCTCCCCCTGGGAGGGGGTTTCGAAGTATTTCTAACAGGATTACCAGATTCGGTAACAGCTTTGTTTCCTAGGCCATCCATCCGTCTGGTAAACTCGCAAGATTCATTTTTCTCACCATGTACATGTATACATCTGAACTAGATTGTGTTGTTTCTCTGTGTCATATATGTGCGTACATGCATACTTTTGTATTTATCTATTTTGTCATGTTCATCTAGTGTATATTGGAGGTGGAGACCCTTTGAGAGCTGTATGCAATGAAAATTCATTTTAATATATGTCGATTAGTGTACACTCAAAGTGACAATAAAGTTATTTTCTTACACCAAATGTTACACTGCAAAAAAAATAATAAATCTATAATTTATTCCAAGAATTGTATTTATTTTTTGATCTGGCTGCATATGCAAAAATATGTCTCAGCAGATGAATCTGACACACAACATTAAGTAAAACAAAATAACGAAGTTTATTCTTGCAAATATAGATACAACCAAGTCAAAACTTCTCCCTGATAGGAAGGCATTAAGAAACGTGGCAGCAATGTTCTGTATGATCTTAAAAAAAAATATCTAGACGATTTTTCTTCTTACTGAAACAAAGTCTGAACATTCAAAAGAATGACAGCATATTATCAAGCAGTGCAGGATGTGCACAAATAAATACTACTACTGCAATAGCCATTAACAGTCTCGCAAATAAACATTTAAATGGGGCATTAACAGAATAATAGCTGTTAACAATTTTTGAAGAAAAAGAATGCTGGCATTGAACCAACTGCTTTCATTTTAATGCACCATTCTAAGAATTCGATGGAGCAGCAAGAGAAGGAATTAACATTTTAATTTAGCAAGAATGTGGTTTAAAACACGGCCCCTTACCGGCACAAATCTCTCCAAAGTAATTCCGGCAAACATTTCTGAACAGCCAGCTTGCGCTGTTTATGAAACCAAATGTCTTAGATCACCGGGTCATTCTTTGGTAATCACTACAGTTTAATCCTTTTGGGCCTGTATTTCCAGAAGAGGTTTCCAGAGCCTACATTCCTCTGTATTTTGGATCTCAGATCTTCTTGGGTTTTTGATGGATGTGTGGCACATTTTGCATGAAGGACTTTGCTAAACACACAATAGGTTGAAGCTGCTGCTGGAATGTTGATCCAAGGATGAAGTACCATGTGAAACTCGCACAATCCCTTGGACATTTATTGCGAGGGTTTTAAGTACAGCCAAATATTCATCCAGTCCAATACACTAAACCTTGGCAACTTTAAGACCTGTGGACTTCAACTCCCAGAATCCCCCAGCCAGAATCCCCCAGCCAGCAGAGAATTCTGGGAGTTGAAATCCACAGATCTTGAAGTTGCCAAAATTGGATACCCCTCCAGTAAATCATTCTTTGTGATCTGGGTGGAAAAGTAGAGCTGAATCTGCTACTCACATCATGGGGGAAAAAACATATTTTTTTGAAAAATACAGATTACATTTTGGCATGGACGTACCAAGCTGCCATCAAGGAAGTTTGCTGGGGAAGGGAGGCTAAGTAACATATGTGACTTCTACCAGACATCTACTGTATATATATATTATTAATAAAAAATTGACTTTTTTTTTACTGGTAAAACAAAAACGAAGTACAGGTGCATCTGCAACTCCATTCAAGCTGTTTGTGCCCATGAATATAAATTCGATATAAATGTGTTAGTAATAAAAACTAGCTCTTGTTTTCTAATTTTTTTTAAAAAAAAGCTGTTCTAGTTTTGCCTCGATATATACTGCAGAACAATTTACAAAAAAAAACCATTCTAACCATGTTAAAATCTGAATCTTAGAATTCAAAATCCATGGACCATTGTCATGGATTAAACCTCGACTTGTTCTGCAATTCAAACAAAAATATTGTACCCGTTTGACACACACTCTTAATAAAGTGACCAAAATCTGTCATTTTAACCTTTAAAATCCTATAATGGAAGACACTTTTGTCAATATATATATATGTGTCTTGTGCACCTTCAACATTGCATAGAAAAACCAATATTCTTTAAACTGTGTGTTGCTGGAATTTATAAATTATTTCAGCCACTTCCATATAAATACTTAAAGCTTTGTCTCTACGACTTACAAACTATTATTATACTCATATTCTACAAAGATGCTCTCAGAATCTAAAACCATAACGTAACAAACACATTATTAACCTTTGCTTTCAGTAAGTCTGACCTGGTCAGCATACAGATTTCAATGAAGCTCTTTCCAAAACAAGACCACACTGTCCTTTCTGTGTCAAATATAGATATAAATATACATATATTTCGTCAACGTGGCCTGGTCTGACGTCTCAAGTTGACTGTCCAATTTCTTGGAGCAAAATGGAGCGACCTCAAATTATCACCTTCGGCTCAAAGGTTCATACGATCCTATATGAAAATCACTTTTATGCAGAACTGAAAACGTATATAAAATTCCTATTGGGTTGATACAATTCAGTGTATCCGTGTGGTGAAGCCGAGATGGACAGAAGTTTTCCAAGTGGTCCCACACCTGTGGCAATTTTATTTCTAAATATTTTGTGGGAGAAAGACTTGCTTATATACAAGGCAGAAGTCTTTGGGAAGCGAAGACTTTGGGTTTTCTTCTTAACAATCACTAACAATTGTCTGTGCTTAAGGTGTTATTACCGTATTTTTCGGAGTATAAGACACACCTTTTTCCCCCCTAAAAGGGGGTGAAAATTTAGGTGTGTCTTATACACTGAATGTAGCCCCGCCCACCCACTGGCCCCCACCCTTTGGCCTCTGCTTCGCAGCAGTTATCTCCTTGCAAGCAAATAGCAAGAAAAAACCAACTTTCAGCTTCAGCACAGCCTAATTAGCACAAGTTGATTGGATCAGCCTCCCGACTCTCAGCTGATTTGCTCTCAGCTGTTTTGCTAGCAGGGCTCTGCTGCTTGCTGCAAGGAGGTAAATTGCTGGAGCAGATTTTTTTTTTCCTTGTGCTAATCAAGCTATGCTGAAAACGAAAATGAAAGTAAAGCAGGCTGTTTGCTGTACCGAGGCAAAATTGCTCAGAGCCAGAGGGAGATTTCTTTTTCTTCTTTTCCTCACCAAGAAAGGTAGGTGCGTCTTATACTCCAAAAAATACGGTAGTTTCTCTGGACAAAATCCAGGAAAATGGAAGAAAAATCAGGTCTATTCAAGCAGGCATAGAAGATATTTCATAACTTTGCATATATGAATCGGCCTTCATAATCTCAACATTGCTTGTACTGCTTAATGTTATTATTGTCCCAAACATTGAGAAGGGCAGCGGTTTAATACTTTCTCAGAAAGCACTGTCAAGTAATGTTTATGCAGAGAATTCATCTATTGCCCACAATGGAATATTTTTAAAATAAAAACATTTGAGATTAGGTCTACTCAAATCATCAGATAGGGGCAAAGTATTTTAAGACATTGCTGAAACCTCACAGTGACGAATTTAATTCAGCATTAATGTAATGCTAATTTTTTTAAAAAAAGAAGAAGAAGAAGAAGAAATGCCACTGAGGGGTTTCAAGAGAAAAAGGATGTTCAACGTTGTTTTGCAAATAAATGTTTTGCACATTATTTATGCAATGCTACTCCATACAATAGGATGCTTTGTAAAATAGGCTTTAGTCACAATCTAGTCTTTGGTATAAAATCCAGATTCTTGAGGTTGTGAACACATGAATTATTGGCTGTTGGAAAAGAGCTTATTTTTAAATGAACGAAGGCTGAAAGAAACCCTGCACCTAATTATTAAATTCACTCGCTCCCGTTCAGACGTGTCGATAGTAAAATGTTTGTAATATTTATGAAAGATGAAATGCCAAACCAGTGCTAAGGACTTTCACTCTCAAGTTATCTTCTGTTCTGTAATGCTTGAGAGCTTCAACTTTCTTTGCAACAACAATTTAATTTCACCAATTCTGCAAGCTTGGATACCCGAAAGAGCACTTGAGGGCCTAAGACCACCAGCGGAAGACACGGCCTCTTCAATTTTCAGCTTGTCAGAAATCCAATTTCTTCAGCTGTTCATAAGTCAAAAAGAACTAGTGCTTGTTAAGGGGAAAAAAAGGAAAGTGTTGAACCTTATTACTAAATGAAAAAGGGTCTGTAATTGCATTTAGTTGCTTTTCCTCCAGTTTTTCCAGCAAATCTGCTCATTCTGCTTGCAAGTTTCTCAGCCAGGTAGCTTTGTTGAGTATATTTAGATAGAATTTTGGTTCCTCTCTATGAAAGAAATTGCATTTTACAGTTCACTTTCTTCCTGTTTTTAAAACTAATCTGTCTTGCAGTGTCTCAAACAGGTAGCTTTGTTGATCTTCCTTTTTATACAAGTAATTGCAATATACATCTTTTTTAAAATCCCATCCAGACTTTTATGACTGGAGATTAAGAAATTACTAAAATATTTGCTTGCTATGAGATAGATAGATAGATAGATAGATAGATAGATAGAGATACAAATACAGATACAGATACAGAGATATAGATATATAGATACAGATATAGATATAGATGCAAACATTTTGAATTTGGATCTTCTGTCCGCATTTTAAAAGCCTCTAATTTATTCCCTATTGGTGGTAACATTTTGAACTGTATCATTACTGTCTTGCTATTATATCTATTCAGTAAGCTTTATCATCTGCTATTATTCCATGTAATATTTTAATATGCTTTTAAAGATGTTTCTATTTGGTTTAACTCTTGTGACATCATCTAAGGTGATTAAGAGTAGAATAGAGAGCGAGAGAAAAAACAAAATGAAGAACTCAACTACATCCATAGAGATTCTTGAGTTCTTGTCACAAGATGGAAAATGTGTGTGGGTCACAAAATCTCAAAATGTATAATTTGCAATGTCAGTCATTCATTCCAATTAATTCAGAATAAGGAAATCAGGGCAATCTGTCTTAAAAAGTATAAGATACGGCACACTTCTTACAAGGAATATTTTCTCCCACGACAAATAGCAAGTGCAACATAGTATTTTTAATGTTTCCACCAAATTACAAAAATGGTACAATTTAGCAAGGGAAAAAAAATAACTTTGTAAATTAAAATTTGTATACACTTGCTATTATGGTCCCTCTGCTACCAGGGAAGAAAATGAATGAATTTTGAGTAAATGAAAATCCAGAAAGCAATTGCTCCCATAGGATTATGCATCAGTGCAAAAATCGTATTGTGGACTAAAGGACAGTGGTTATTTCGAATTGTAATAAAATTGATAACTGGCAAAAAGATTTTAAGATGGAGAAAGCAAAGTAAATATTATGTTTGTTTGGCATAAGTGGATATTCACTTTGTTTTAAAGAATTTCATATTTTATGTAAACATTTGAAAATATAGAGTCAGTTAAACCACCAGGCCAGAAAGAAGGTGGTGAGTTCTAGTTCCGCCTTAGCCATGAAAGCTGGCTGGGTGACTTTGGGCCAATCACCAGGAGACAGTGAGTTCTAGTCCTCCCTTAGTTATGAAAGCCAGTTGATTGACTTTGGCAGACGGTGAGTTCTAGTCCCACCTTACACATAAATGCCAATTGAGTGACTTTGGGCCAATCACCAGGAGACAGTGAGTTCTAGTCCTGCCTTAGCCATGAAAGCCAGTTGGGTGACTTTGGGCCAATCACCAGGAGACTGGGAGTTCTAGTCTCCCTTAGTTATGAAAGCCAGTTGGGTGACTTTGGGCCAATCACCAGGAGACAGTGAGTTCTAGTCCCACCTTAGCCATGAAAGACAGTTGGGTGACTTTGGGCCAATCACCAGGAGACTGGGAGTTCTAGTCCTCCCTTAGTTATGAAAGCCAGTTGGGTGACTTTGGGCCAATCACCAGGAGATGGTGAGTTCTAGTCCCACCTTAGCCATGAAAGCCAGTTGATTGACTTTGGGCCAATCACCAGGAGACTGGGAGTTCTAGTCCTCCCTTAGTTATGAAAGCCAGTTGATTGACTTTGGGCCAATCACCAGGAGATGGTGAGTTCTAGTCCCACCTTAGCTATGAAAGCCAGTTGATTGACTTTGGGCCAATCCACCAGGAGACTGGGAGTTCTAGTCCTCCCTTAGTTATGAAAGCCAGCTGGGTGACTTTGGGCCAATCACCAGGAGAAGGTGAGTTCTAGTCCTGCCTTAGTTATGAAAGCCAGCTGGGTGACTTTGGGCCAATCACCAGGAGAAGGTGAGTTCTAGTCCTGCCTTAGCCATGAAAGCCAGTTGTGTGACTTTGGACCTGTCACTTTCTCTCAGCCCAATCCACTTCACAAGGCTGCTGTTGTAGGAAAAAGAGAAGGAGGAAGGTTTGCTGGCTATATTCACTGCCTTGAGTCATTTGTACAAATAATAAAAGCCAGGATATAAATAAAAATAAATTAAATTAAATGAATGGAAAAAGGATACAATTATATTCCAAGGCCCGAGCCTTAACCAGTTCGGCCAGAATCCTTTGTACAACGCAAAAAAACCTTCGTTCTTCCAGGTCTATGAAAAATAAAGAAAAAAAATCTCTGAATATTCCGTAATCCACGTTCAATAGAGGAGACACTGCCTCTTTCCCTGTCTGCAAACAGAAGAGTATCCCATCCCATCCCATCCTGTAACACAGACGAAGGATGAACAAAGACCGGATGGTGGACCTTGTCACTAACGGTCAAGAGCCTCCTTTCAAAGGCACCTGGTCTACAAACCACCTCCATCAGAAGGTGTTCTTAAGAATCTCCTGCTGAAAGGTTCTCCAAGAATTAATTCCTAGGAAAGAACTAGCCTGAAATCTAGGATTATCTGCAGTTTTAGGCTCTTTATGCACGAGAGAGGAACCTCTTCCCCATGGAGTTTAATCCTTAGGAGTTGAAACCAACGTCTGAAGAGGCTTCTTCCAATAAAGAACTGGAATTTGATTCAAAATAAAAGCAGGATCTTCCCCTGAAGATGAACCAAGAATGGAGGCAAAGAAAGTCTAAAGGTCAATTTATAACAACTAACAAACAGATATTTTGGACTACATCTTTCCATCATCCCTTGCCTTGTTGGGACTCATGATGGTTGAACCAAACCATGATTTCAGTCACAGTCCAACATAGCCTCCCTTATTCTGCAATATTGAACAATGCAAATTGTGTTCAGGGAAATGTCTTTTATCTAACGTTCTTCTTGACCCTGAAGGAAGTCTACTGACCTGGAGCAAGCAGTCTAGAGTCCCCTTGTAGCCATGCTGGGGCCCCGTTCGTAAGCTTGTCTGATTCATCATCCGCGTCCTCACCACATCGATGGGGTTGGATGCCAAAGCTCCCGCCAAGCCGCATGTGAAACTTGCTCTGAGAGAGATAGAGGAAATTCAGAGTATTATCCAAACTGCCTTAAATTCAGAGTGTTATATAAATCCCATTCTCGGTGAACGAGAAAATGCAAAGGCAAGTGTGATGGTTTGGTTGTTTCCAAAGGATGCCATAGGACAGCATCTCCCAAACTTGATGGCTTTGACAAGGAGGAGGAGGAGGAGGAGAAGGAAGAAGAAAGGAAAAGGAGGAGGATGGGGACCGGGAGGGGAAAAGAAAGGGGAAGGGAAAGCAGAAGAGGAAGAAGAGAAATCAGAAGAAAGAGGGAGCTGGGGAGGGGGCAGAAGGAGAAGAAGGGATGGAGGAGAGAGGAGGAGGAGGGAGGGGAAGGGAGGAAAGGAAAGGAGGGAGAGAGAGAGAGAAAGTGAGGAAGAATAGAACTGTGTGATTAGACACACAAGGAATTTGTCTCCAGTGCATAAACTCTCAGTGTTCATACAACAATAGTGATAGATCATTATCATAGTGATTGTAAAAAAGTAGCAGAAGAGGAGGAGGAGGAGGAGGAGGGAAGGAGAAGAAGAAGGAGAAGAAGGAGAAGGAGAAGAAGAAGAAAAGAGGAGGAGAAGGAGGAGGAGGAGGAGGAGGAGAAGGAAAAGAAGAAGAAGAAGAAGAAGAAGAAGAAGAAGAAGAAGAAGAAGAAGAAGAAGAAGAAGAAGAAGAGGAGGAGGAGGAGGAGGAGGAGGAGGAGGAGGAGGAGGAGGAGGAGGAGGAGGAGGAGGAGGAGGAGGAGGAGGAGGAGGAGAAGGAGAAGGAGATCGGCTGAGGAATTCTGGGAGTTGAACTCTACACATCCAATGTCTCAACATCTGCCTCCTAGGGAAAGTCCCACAGATCGATCAAATCTGGAACATTAGAAGATATGCTTGATTCTTTCCTTCCGGACTTACAGAAAGTGAGTGTACACTGTGTCTCCCATGAACCCGCTGAGGATTATGTGCTTCTTGGTGAGATCATAGATGGGCAGCTCCACACCAACCACCACCGCGGCTCTCTGAGCGGTAAGAGAGACTCCCTGCAAAAAGGAAAACAACAACTGTGTGGCAAAACAAAGCAACGTCTCCTTGAAGAAATAATTTAGAGTTTTGTGATCTTCAATTCTTTATGGAGCTATTCTACTCCGGGATCATCCTTACAGGAACTCTGAAAATATAAGTCATTCTTGAAAGAATCTGAATTGGTTTTATTCCCCTGCTCCACCCAAAGCAAAACCTGTCAATTGTGGTGGAGACAAATACCTGAAGTTCCCCATCCATCCGTCTTCCTGTTAATAATTCTTAGGATTCTCCCACCCACTCAGTTTTCCCGTTAATAATTCTTAGAGAAAAAGTGCAAGTGTTTCTCCCAAATATTTCAGAAACGCAGAGATGGATGCTAATGAGGAGCCAAGAGGGATTTCTCTGCCCCTTCTTACAGATTTGGGGGTGTTTTCTACAACTGACACCTCCCGCTTTGGGCTTTCTGTTGGGAGAACAAAAATAATTCAGAATTCTTTGACGATGAGCAGTTCAGTTTTGCTAATTCCCAGGCCACGTTGTGGGTAGTAGATAGTGTGGCGCAGTGGTTAGAATGTGATATTGCAGGCTAATTCTGCCGACTGCCAGTAGTTCGATCCTGACAGGCTCAAGATTGACTCAGCCTTCCGTCCTTCTGAGGTCAGTAAAATGAGGACACAGATTTTTGGGGGGGCAACAGGCTGACTCTGTATACCATTTAGAGAGCTAATCCCCGTGAAACGATATAAGTCTAAGTGCTATTGCTATTCTCTTCCTCTCCTCCTTCCCCTCTCCTTTTCTTTCTACCTTTTTTTCTTCCCTCTATTCTCTCCTTGCTTCCCTCCTTTTTCTCCTTTTCTCTCTCCTGCTCCCTCCTTCTCTCATTTCCCTTCTCTTTTCTCTCCCTCTTCTTTCCTCTCCTTCCTTACTTCTTCCCTCCCTTTGATTTTTTTCTTTCTCTCTTTCTCTTCCTTCCTTCTCCTTCCTTTCCTTCTTCCTTCCTTCCTTCCTTTCTTTTCCTTCCTTCCTTTTTTCTCTTTCTTTCTTTCATAAGAGCCGTGGTGGCGCAGTGGTTGGAATGCAGTATTGCAGGCTAGTTCTGCTGACTGCCAGCAGTTTGATCCTGACCAGCTGAAGGTTGACTCAGCCTTCCATCCTTCCGAGGTTGATAAAATGAGGACCCAGTTTGCTGACTTTGTAAACCGCTTAGAGAGGGCTTTAAGGCACTGTGAAGTGGTATATAAGTCTAAGTGCTATTGCTAAGTGCTGTTTCGCAGCATTAGAAACTGTCAGTACAAAATATTCCCATAAAATCCACAAATCAAGAAATATTTTTCTATATATCTATAAACACAATAGATATAATATTATCGTTTTCAACTTTAAATCCCACCATCTTGTCCAATCGGGGGGAAAAAAACCCACAATCCAGAAGGAGTTCCTTTGCCTGCCCTGTGAACTTTCTCAAGCTGCAACAGAAGAACTTGGCATGTTTCTGAAATGTATTGAATAACTTGCCTTCCACAAGCCTCGGGTACCTTCGTTCTGATAAATATTCATGAAGTTCCCAAACATGCCGCCTTCGATGAGACTTCCTTGGGCTTGCATCCTGATCTAGGATTAGCCGGGGATGGGAAAGAAGGAAAAAAAACAACAACACAAAACAGAAAAGGGGTCACATTTTAATCATCCTGCAGTCTTCCCGTGATGAAATGAGAAGGCATATTTTCGTATCTGTGGGGCCGTCAATCAAAACAGCTCACCGGTCATCCATCTAGCTCTCCTGTAACTCTAAACCAGGGGTGGGCAGCTTAATTTCAAAGGGCGTCTTTGAGAGGTTATTTTAGGTCTCTTGCCCTTTGGGAGGGGGCGAGGAGGAAGGGGAAGAGAGAGAGAGAGAATACATCCAGGAAGAGAAATAGGAAAAGAACACGATATTGGCAGAGGTTTGATCTCCCAGCTCGTTTCAAAACCCGAGCTACAAGTATTTTCTATTATTTCAAGAATGCCAGATCTCTGCCCACTTTTGGCTACGGCTCAACCTGACTCCTCGTACCAGTCCTATTTAAAATGTGAACATGCGAGATTGCAGTTCTTGGCAGGAGAAAAGTTGTCTCTTCTATATCATGTGTTTTACACCCAATTTTTTTTTTTTTTGGAGGGAGCAACCGTTTTCTTTGGCTTGGAAAAGAAAAACAAAATACATGAATATGGTGGTAAGTTTAATCGTTAAGACACAAAGAATTTTATACCCAGATGACACACTGTTTAATGAAAGATGAAATGTTTGTATTAAAAGAAAATTTAAAAGAAAGAAAGAAAAGGAAAGAGACTGCTGGGTATCGAAAGGATTCCAAAGGAAACGCTGAACAAAATATGAAAGGGAAAATTCATCTCCAAAATGTAAAATGCTTAAAAATGGGCATAAATGGGAAGCCAGTTTGGTCTAGTGGTTAAAACACCAGGCTAGAAACCAGGAAACTGTGAGTTCAAGTCCCGCATTAGACATGGAAGCCAAAAGGGTGATTTGGGGTCAATCACCAGGAGATGGTGAGTTCTACTCCTGCGTTAGCCACAAAAACCATCTGGGTTACTTAGGCCAGTCTCACTCTCTCAACCCAATTCACCTCACAGGGTTGTTGTTGTATGAAAAATAGGAGGTGGAAGGAGTATTAAATACTGTACATTGGCTGTCTTGAGTTGTTAATAAAAAACAAGAAAGATAGGAAGGAAGGAAGGAAGGAAGGAAGGAAGGAAGAAAGAAAGAAAGAAAGAAAGAAAGAAAGAAAGAAAGAAAGAAAGAAAGAAAGAAAGAAAGAGAGAGAGAGAGAAATCATCCTACATTAAGGGGAAAAATATTTCTTCCAGGAGTGGTACAAGGCCTCTGATTGAAAAACAGGAAAATAAAGCTTCATAAGAAATGCAAGTCGACCTCACAGCAGGGGAAGCTCACTTAATGGAGAGCTAGAGGAATGAGAACATAGCCTAGGTCTTAAATTAGATACTACTCACACGCTCAACTATTTTCTTCTCATGACTTGCTGCATTACAGATAAAGAGGTTTTTTTTTCCCCCTTATCATTACCCCAACAGAATGTTTGTTCCCTTGGGGATAAATGAACAACACAAGAAAAGAGAAAAGAGAAAAGAGAAAAGAGAAAAGAGAAAAGAGCTGGGCCTGCCAGGAATGGCCTTTGCTATCTTAATAGTGTCAGAAAAAGAGAGATTTAAGTTAGCAAATGGTTGTAAATTGAGGATTCCCTGCACAGGCAGTCCTCGACTTACAACCACAATTGAGCCCAAAATTTATGCTCCTAACCAAGAGACACTTGTTAAGTGAGCTTTGTCCCATTTTACGAACTTTCTTGCCACTGTTGTTAAGCGAATCACTGCACTGCACAGCACTGCAAGTGAGTAACAGGGTTGTTAAGTGAATCTGGCTTCCCCATTGACTTTATTTATTTATTTGTTTATTAGTCATATTTCTAGAGGACTCTGGGCGGCTTACACCAAAGACAGTATACTAAATAGCATATTGCCCACTAACAATCTGGGTCCTCAGATTGGGACTTTGTTCATCAGAAGGTTGCAAAAGGGGATCATGTGATCCCAGGACACGGCGATCGTCATAAATACGAGTCAGTTGGCGAGCGTCCGAATTCTGATCGTGTGAACACGAGGATGCTGCAACGGTTGTAAGTGTGAAAAACGGGCATAACTTTTTTCAGTGCCCTTGTAACATTGAACGGTCACTAAACGAACTGTCGTAAGTCGAGGACCACCTGTATATAGACCACCTGTATATAAAAAGTGGAACTGCTGCTCCACACTTAAAAGGACCAAGGATGGTTTTATGGGGAGACAGAGAAAACGACAACCAGGTGGAATAATTAATATTGGGTGGGATGAGATACAGGCAGTCCTTGGTTTACAACCTTCATTTAGTGACTGTTTGAAGTTGCAACAGCACTGGAAAAAAAGTGACTTATGACAGTTTTTCACACTTACAATCCCATGATCATGTGATCAAAATTCAAATGCATGGCAACTGGCAGGTACTTATGACGGTTGCATTGTCCCGGAGTCTCGTGATCCCTTTTTGTGACCTCCTGACAAACAAAGTCAGTGGGGGAAGCCAGATTCACTTAGCAACCGTGTGACTAATTTAATGACTGCAGCAAGAAAATCCGTAAATCTCAAACAACGGACCGGATTCCATTTTAATAGGAAGTGATGTTTCCTCCTGACTTGGAGCAGAGATGAAATCTGGCCGCATCCATTAGCCAAATGATGAGTGCGGGTCTCCAGGCCCCCTCCTCTTACTCCTTGGGCAAAGAGACAGTTTTGGAAGCTCTCAACTCTCATTCCAGAGAGGTGACTCAGAAAGTTAGAAGGGCTAATAATATCGAATTCCAGATGGTGATATTTAAGAACTAGCTTAGCTGCATGTCCCTTGTAAGGTCCTGAGAAGACATCCGACAAGGACTTGAAGCTAATTAGTTTTTGCTTTAAATTGGGCTTTAAAGACAGGCTGAAAATTCCTGTATTACGAAAACCATAACAATCTATGTCACTTATTTACATCTATTTAACATACATTATTTTTCTATAACAACTAAGACGCAAGGATGGATTTATTCTTCTTAAAAAAGAGAACTGCAAAAGTACAGGCAGTCCTTGACTTATGACTGCAATTCGTGTAGCAAAACTTCTATTGCTACATGAAACATTTATTAAGTGAGTTTTGCCCCACTGTACGATTTTTCTTGGCACAGCTGTTAAAAGGGAATCACTCCACTTATTAAAGTTAATAATAACGGTTGTTAAATGAACCTGATTTCTCCATTGACTTTGGTTGTCAAGACGGTCGCAAAACGGGATCGCACACGATCCTGGGACAATGCAACCGTCGTAAATATGAGTCAGTGGCCAACGGTCTTGAATTTTGATCACACGAACCCGGGGATTCTGCAAGCGGTCGTATGTGTGAAAAATGTTCATGTGTTAGTTTTTCAGTGCCATTGTAACTTTGAACCGTCACTAAATGAACCGTTGTAAAGTCAAGGACTGCCTGTAATCAATTTTCTTTTAATGGCCCCCTAATCCCTTGCGGGGTGGAGTCTGGGCAACTGAATGGAGCTGAGTGTTTTACTGGCCGGATGTCCTTCCTGTCACTAATGCGGAGTTTTGTCCAGCAGATAATATTCTCATTGTGCCCAGGGAGAGAAATATTTATCTCTACCTAGGATAGAACTCACAACCTCCTGATTGTGAGGCGAAACCTCCACTTCTAGGCCACAGCACCACTCAATTACTGCCTGTAATCTGATCTCCAAAATAGGCAGAATCCCCAACCCTCTTATTCCATTAATATATCTTTTTAATTGTTTTTAATGTCTGTATTGTATGTTTTCATCTGGCTGTACACCGCCCTGAGTCCCTCGGGAGAAGGTGCGGTATATAAATTCGAAATAAAATAAAAATAAATTAAAAATTAAAAACAGTTTCAGTTTTGTGTTTTACACATACGAGTTTTTTTAGTTCCTCGGAACATTCACAAGTCGACTAGGCACACACCTTGCTTTATCTGAAATACCTTTGGCTCTTTGATGCAAAATAAAATAAAGTAGAAGCCTAAGAACTTACCTTCAACACATCGGTGGGGTTAGCAATGGAAGAGGAAACGACCCCAGACAGAATCCCACACAACACATTGACAGCCAGTGTTTCATCTGTTTCAGGGGGGGGAAAAAATTCATTACGCTCAAGGGTTTATATTTGGGTGTCCAAACCAGTTTTGATTAGAACCTGAATTTTTCTTGGCATCGGTTTTTTTTTTTCTTTGAAGTGTCTTAATGCAGCTGGAAGTATCTCCAACACTGGGAGTTTTTAAGGCGAGATTGGACAACCGTTTGTCTGAGATCAAGGAGAGAAGCACCCTAGAACTAAGGAGAAATTTCCGGACAGTGAGAACAATTAATCGGTGGAATGGCCCCCCACAGCCCCTGCTTTTGGCACGTGATAGCACAGTGGGCCCGGTAGGCCTGGTTTTTTTGCCCTCCCCAGGCTCCAGAGGCTTTCTAGGAGCCTGGGGAGGGTAAAAATGGCCTTCTCACCCCGCCTGGAGGGCCTCTAGAGGCCGGAAACAGCCCGTTTCCTGACTTCCGGTGGGCCAGGAAGGCCCAAAAATCAGTTGGCCAGCACGCTGGAGCTGAGCTAGGGCAATGCTCGCGTGCCCACAGATATATATCTATATATCTATATATCTATATATCTATGTAGGTCTTTGGTTATTCAAGTTTTCTCTCACGTAAAATTGGAAGTGTCTTGGCGACGTTTCGACGAAGTCTCATTCGTCATCTTCAGGCTGGTGTTTTCGGCTTCGTGCTTCTAGGACGAATTGCTCCTAGAAGCACAAAGCCGAAAACACCAGCCTGAAGATGACAAATGAGACTTCGTCGAAACGTCGCCAAGACACTTCCAATTTTACGCGAGAGAAAACTCGAATAACCAAAGACCTACATACAAACACCCACGAAAACCTCAGAAAACATATATATCTATATAGGTTTGCCATCATGGGTATAGGGTCTCTTGAGGACTGGAACAGCAGGTTTTCTGAGCAGGGGGTTGGACTAGAAGACCTCCAAGGTCCCTTCCAACTCTGTTGACCCGAAGGTGCTTTTTCAGGAGGCAACTTTGTTTTTTCCTTAAAGACGTTTCGCTTCTCATCCAAGAAGCTTCTTCAGCTCTGACTGGATGGTGGGGAAGGGAAGGATTATCCCGTCCACTATCCTGTCGGAGCTGAAGAAGCTTCTTGGATGAGAAGCGAAACGTCTTCAAAACAAAAAAACCAAGAAAGTCCAGTTGCCTCTTGAAAAAGCATTTTTGGGACAACCATGACCTGGATGACCGAGAATCTCCACAGACTTTTAGCTATGCAATTTGGGATGAGCCGCCTTTGAATGGGGTGGGAGTAGGAATGAATTTCCAGGGAGAAAAATTGCAGACTACAGGAACCATTTTCACTACTCAGGTGACCCTGAGGACACAGAGAAGCCTCCAAGTGGTCTCAATGACTCTTTAAAAGGATGCAAGTGACCAGCTGTCTGCGAGGAATATAAATCCTTCCCTTCCCTAACATCCTTTCAGAGCTGAAGAAGCTTCTTGGATGAGAAGCGAAATGTCTTCAAAAGAAAAAAAAAACAAGAAAATCCAGTTGCCTCCTGAAAAAAGCACCTTTGGACAAACATGACCTGGAGGACTGAGATCTCTACACGCTTCCAACTCTGTTATTCTCTTAACTGTCCCCTTGCATTAAAACTCTTCTAGCTTCCTACGTTCTCTGCTCTGACCTCTCTTTATCTTTGATCTAAGAAATGCAGCTCGGATCTGGGGAAAAAAAAATCCACTTACCTTCGGGCCGTTCAATAAATATTCTTTTCAAGCTCTGATAAGTGCCTATTTTTATGGTCCCGTAAGAGGCCTGGCGTAACATAGCCGGAGCAATTCTGCAGGAGGAAAACACGGGCGTAATAAAATCAGGGGCCAGGCTGTCCTGCAGTCTTCTAAACCAGGCGTCTCCAACCTTGGCAACTTTAAGCCTGGCGACTTCAACTCCCAAAGCAAAGCTGGCTGGGAATTCTGGAAGTTCATGCCAGGCTTAAAGTTGCCAAGGTTGGAGCCCTGTTCTAAACACTTATACTTGAAGTGAGGAAGTTATGACCAGCAGAAGAGCTCAGGGGCTCCAAGGATAGTTGCCCATCAGCACAAATTAAGAGAGATTTATATTTGTTTATTTGGTTCTTTGAATCTCTCTTGGTCACTGTTTCTACGACATCCTGCTGTTTTCTTGGCAAGGTTTTTTTTACAAAATGATGCGTCCTTCCATTCTTCTTCTTTTTAGGGCTGAGAGATAGCAATTGGCCCCAAATCATTCAGTTGGGTTTCATGCCTAAGGTTAAACTAGAACTCACAGTCTCCCGGTTTCTAGTACGGGGCCTTAAGCACTACACCAAACTCTCTCTCTTATATCCGTTATTACTGGTTGAATCAGCTGTTGCTGGAAACAGTTCTCAGCTACCGTAGGGATATGGCCTTCTACAAACTCAGACCCAAGTTTAACTCCCAAGGGAATTTGCGAAGAATCTGTAAATGCAGAAATCACCAACAATTGTGTGCAAAGCAGCAGAGGCAAAAATGTACCTTTTCCAAAAGGTTTTCCCCCCCCCCAATCCCGAATTTCTGATTAAATGTTCCAGAGAAAAAAATAGAGAATTTTAGGGAACACAAAGCTTTTCTAGAATTGTTCAGCACGTTCATAATCAAACTTATTGGGAATGTATACATGTTTGCGTAAATGCACACTACAGGGGGAAGTTTTAGCACACCCCAAACTTTAAAAGCCACATTTGCACTTAGAAAGCTGTACAATTTTGCATACAATTCATCGACAAAGCATGTAAATGTCTTTTTCCTTCAAGAGAAATGCCATCTTAATTATCAATTAATCCACTAGGAAAATAAGCTAGGATGTGACTCAGAATTAGGTCCAAAAATTAGGTCTAAGATAATCAGTTTGGGAGGCCAATTTGGGCCACTGGTTAAGGCATCAGGCCAGAAACCAGGAGACTGTGAGTTCTAGTCCACAAAGCCAGTTGGGTGACCTTGGACCAGTCATGTTCTCTCAGCCCTAAAAAGGAAGCAATGGCAAACCACTTTTGGAAACCTTGCCAAGAAAACCTTGCAAGGATTTGTTCAGGATTTGTCTCCGAGTACTGGTTACGATTAAACAGATGAAAAATAAAAATACAGCATGCTGCACACAGGTTTGTCACTCAAACTATTTAACTACGCAGAGACACATTTGCACATTTCAACAATACACAGGACAAGACAAGGTGAGAAATCTTACCCAGAGTATAAAGCCTTCAATCCTTCTTCCCTGACTATTTTCACTAACGCGTGAAGCATTCCACGGTAACGGATGTCTTTATGCTTGGCATCATTTTTCTGGCCTTGGACCTGCAGCCGCGTTTTCGTCAGATCGATTGGGAAAGTCCCTTTGTGCCCAAGAGAAAACTGGTTAGTTCACGAATTATAAATTTATAGAAATGCATACCGTACATTCCAGAATGAAGCAAACTTGGTTTCCGACATAAATTGGACATAATATACATGTGTGCCTGTTTAAATAACCTGTATATCCAGGATTACAGAATTACAGAGTTGGAAGGGACCTCAGAGGTCTTCTAGTCCAACCCCTTGCTTAAGCAGGAGACCCTATACCATCACAGTCAAACAGCTGTCCAGTCTCTTCTTAAAATCTCCAATGATGGAGCCCCCACAACTTCTGGTGGCAAGCCATTAAAAATGGCTGATTTCATTAAAAATAAAAATGTACTTTTATCAAACCCTTCAAATTATTTAAAATTTATCAAACCCTTCAAATCATCTATAAAACCCTTCAAATTATCTATAATTCAAGTTATCTATAAATCTGCTGTTCCCCATTCCGTTGTCTGTTAGAATATCTGGATAGTGTTGTTACTGTATATATGCCAGTTTTGTTCAAGGCACTGTGAATAATTAAAGTGTGAACCACGCACACACAAAATAAACTCTTAACAGTACAATGGACTGCAAGTTCAGATAAATCAAAAGATGTTGAAAGAAAAATAGGAGCCATAATTGCATTCCACGGGCTGGGAGCAAGCTTTAAACAATAGGAAAGTACATTCCTAGGAGGTACAATAATATTCTGATCGCTTTTGCAAACATCTAGTTACGCTGGAGACTTAGACATTCTGTTTTTGTGCCGAAGTATTAATTTCCTGCCTTTTATGAAAAAAAAACAACACCTGGATATCTCCACACTTTTTCCGTTCCCCAGTTTATACTGTATCAAAATTCAATCACAATGTAGATTTACTTAGAAAGAAACTTAGTTTTAAAGAAGTTAAAATTCCCTTTTTTTCCAGAAATGTAAGTCTTCCTTTTAAAATTCCTTTTTTAAAAATTCAAAATTTATAGCTCAGCTGTTTCAAGCAGGCTTCAAAATCAAATTCCCCATGTTGAAAAGGAAGGATCTGCATTTATGACTTGCAAGGTAATTGAGGTCCTTTAACTATGCTTTTAAAATAAGATTTATCTCCAAGAAACCTTCATAACAATTAAGGCCACGTTTCATTACCCAACTAAAAATAAAAAAATCATTAATGATTTGCAAGCAACTACCAACTTCCAACTTCTTCAACCTTGAGAGACAGCTGTTGAAATATTTTTGCTCATTCCAAAACTGAAATTAAAACCTGCCATCTTTTTGTTAAAGAAATAGACAAGGGCACAAAGTCCTTGACTTATAACAGTTTGCTTAGAGACCATTCAAAGTCACTGAAAATAGTAACTTGTGACTGTTTTTCACACTGATGACCATTGCAGCATCGCCAGGGTGACATGATTTAAAATTCAGACGCTTGGCAACTGACTCGTACTTATGACGGTTGCAGTGTTTCCGGGCTCATGTGATCATCCCCTTTTGCAAACTGAGGAAGCCAGATTCACTTAATAACTCGGTTACTAACTTAATTCGCTTAACAATTCTAGGAAAAAAAAAAAAAGATCAGACCATGGGGCAAAATTCACTTAACAAAGGTCTCATTTAGCAACAGAAATTTTGGGGACAATTGTAGTCATAAGGCAAGGACTTTAAAAAAAAATGAACAAGTTGCAAAAGCATTCATTTAGATCAGAGGTCTTCAAACTTGGCAGCTTGAAGACTTGTGGACTTCAACTCCCAGAATTCTCCAGCAGCTGGCTGGAGAATTCTGGGAGTTGAAGTCCACAAGTCTTCAAGTCTGCCAAGTTTGAAGACCTCTGAGTTAGATGATGGTCCCCTCTTGCAGGGCCCACTTTAGTTATGACATGTGAGCTTGCAAAGATTTTGATGCCAAGGCACGTTGGCATGCAAGGGTCAGTTCCAAGTTAATGAAACAACTGCCCCGGGCAGTTTTCTAAATGAGCACTAATCGTCCGTCTGGATTATTTCAGAGTTCAAATACGCACCACATTCTGCAGTGATGGAAGCCAGCCCTCCGTACACAAATGGCTTCCAGTTCAAAGCCGCCATGCTCCTGCGTGTCTCTTCCCTCTGCAAGACAACAACGACACAACACTGTTCTTAAAAACATCTTCCTGGTAGGGCAGGGATTGGTCCGTGCACAGCCCTCCAGCCCCAGCCCCTTTGACTTACAGTTGTTTGCTGAGTGACCGTTTGAAGCAGAATGGAGTAACGGAGTTGGAAGGTACCTTTGAGGTCAACTAGTCCATCCCTGTCAAGCAGGAGACCCTATACCCGTGATGGCGAACCTATGGCACGCGAGCCATATCTGTGGGCACACGAGCATTGCCCTAGCTCAACTCCAGCGCATTTTCAGGCCTTCCGGGCCCACCGGAAGTCAGGAAACGGGCTGTTTCTGGCCTCCGGGGGTGGGGAAGGCTGTTTTCACCCCTCCCAGGCTCCTAGAAAGCCTCTGGAGTCTGGGGAGGGTGAAAAGGGCTTGGTGGCTCAGCAACGTAAATAAAAGAAGAGTTGGAAGGGACCTTGGAGGTCTTCTAGTCCAGCCTTCTGCTTTATTGATTCAATAAATCAAATAAAAAAAAAAAGCAGGAGACGCTATTTCAGACAACTTTAGTACTATTGGCAGAAAAACCTCACAGACACAGTACTTGGGAGTCCAACTGGCTACAAGGACATTTTCCTGAACCCCCCAAAACATGGATAAAATGGGGACGACGAATCAGAAAAATCGCTCCATCTAACAGTAACATTCCAATGCATTTTCTCTTGATTCTGGAACTTATTGCTGAGTAATTTTATTTGGGCTTTTTAAAAAATGACGTTGAATATCAGTTTTTTTTTCCTTTTTACACCCACCCTCTCTCTCTCTGTCATGCAAATGCATCAGAACAATTAACCAGTGGAACGGCTTGCCACCAGAAGTTGTGGGTGCTCCATCACTGCAGGTTTTCAAGAAGGGACTGGACAGTCATTTGTCTGGGATGGTATAAGGCCGTGATGGCGAACCTATGGCACGCGTGCCATAGGTGGCACGTGGAGCCATATCTGTGGGCACGTGAGAGTTTCCCTAGCTCAGCTCCAGCACACATGTGCGTGCCAACCAACTGATTTTCGGGTCTTCCGGCCCACCGGAAGTCAGGAAATGGGCCATTTCCAGCCTCCGGAGGGGTGGGGAAGGCTGTTTTCACCCTCCCCAGGCGCCAAGAAAGTCTCTGGAGCCTGGGGAGGGTGAAAAATGGGCCTATGGGGGGAGTGCTGTGGGGGGTCGCACACGCATGCACGGGGAGGTTGGGATGCATTGAATTATGGGTGGGCACACGTGCATGTGACTCTCCCCGCTTTTGACACGTGACGGCAAAAAGGTTAGCCAACACTGGTATAAGGCCTCCTGTTAAAGCAGGGCTCTGGACCAGAAGATCTCCAAGGTCCCTTCCAAAACTCTTGTTATTCTGTATTCTATTTTGTATTCTGTATTCTCTTTTTTTTTAAATTGCTATTCCTAAAAAAAAAAAAAAACACTTGTCCTGGGAAACTTTTCCAGGATCACGCCTCTCATGGAACCACCAGCAGCCAACAATTTCAGATTAGCTCATTTCAAAATCAGGATGTGAACTTTAGCCTGTCTCCTCCTGACAGCTTTTGATCATGCGGTGCCCACCTCTCTCTCTCCGAATTTTCATCCTGGCCCTCATCTGTTGCAGCCCCCTGTTCACTCCACCCCCCCCTTTTCTCAATTGCTGCAGCTTTCTTTCCCCAGCCCCCATTCTCAAAACCCAGGAGGTCAAGGAGAAGTAACCTACAGCCCTCAGGCGTCTGGATTTACGATTGTGGGATCACGTGCTACTAACTTGGGAGGGTTTACACAACAGACAGCGCAAACCAAACAAACCCACATTCCCCCTTCCTAGCCCTGTCTTGTTTTCAAAGCAGCCAGCCAATCTTCACGCCTGCCAATATCTTTTCTTCCTTAAAAGATAGGAAAGCTTCCCATGGATCAATTGCCATTTTTTACATGAGATCAGATTTGGCTCATGGTTACACTGACCCTTCCCCCCCCCACATCCTTTATTATAAAGGACAGTCTTTTATTTAAGGGGAAAAAAACCTTGTCCTTTAGACTGGCCTAATATGAATTTTCAGTGGGTGTATGTGTGTTTTAATTTGAGGGCCAAATTGTATGTATTTGTTTTAATTGGTTTTAAATTTTATAAATTCATGTGTTTTAATGAGTCCCCTGGGAGAAGGGCGGTATAGAAATCCAATAAACTATAAACTATATTTCTCTTTCAAAAACTTTGAAAAGTTTGGTCATTTAACTTTGACAGCGCCAAACACTTAAGGCACAAGGTTTTTTATACATTCCTTTGAAAAATATGGAAGCAGAATTACCATTGTTTAAATAAGTTTACGTGTACTCTTTTGAGTTTAGATATTTGTAGTAGGATATGCAGTTTTGTAAAGGTTTTTTTGGTTTTCCTCTTTAATTTTCTTTTACTTTAAGGCAAACTCATCAATACAAGCAATTTTTTTTTATCCTTGTGGAATCTCTTTTCAGATTTGTCCTTTATTATGCAATATGGTTGTTGTACCTTTCAGAAAACATTATACAATATTATACAATAAGTTGTGTATTATATACAACATACAATATAGTCTTTGTACCTTTAAGAAAACACCCTATGGAACATAAAATGCCTCCAGGATTACATCTATTGTCTTCAATGGAGGCCTAATGTTCTTTCCCAGAATATTTCATGGAATATTTCAGAATATTAAGCACCATTAAAAAGCTATTTTTATCCAAGTATGCCCATCATCTGACAATGAACTTAACCGTATCAGTAAAAGGACTTAAAGGCATCAGACCTTAAACCCCTTAGGGTTAAGCTTGGTTTAGTTCTTTAGAGGCTTAGAGTGTCAAAAGAAGCAAGCTTATTTGGTTACTTTATTGGTTCAGAGGGCTGCGTGAACCTCTTAAACCGAATCTTCTTGACATACTGCAAAACATATTTGAGCACCGCTAAAGAGCAAACCTTGTGAAATCAAATTGGGTTCCTGGGGGAACATCCCAGACCCACCCAGTGGAGGTTTTAAAGGGCTCAGGAGCACAACTTACAACCCCAACGGAGGCCAACATTTCAACGGCTAAGCAAGAGCTGTTGTTAAGTGAGCTTTGCCCCATTTTATGACCTTTCTTACGAATGTCGTTAAGCGAATCACTGCCCTTGTTAAGTTAGTCCCACGGTTGTTAAGCGAATCTGGCTTCCCCCATTGCCTGTCAAAAGGTCGCCAGAGGGGAATCACACGTGATTCCCCAGGAGGACGCTGCAACCCTCAGAAGTACATGCCAGTTGCCAAGCCTCTGAATTTTTGGCCACGTGACTGTGGGAATTAACATAAAAACCGGTCATAAGTCACTTTTTCCAGGACTGTCGTAACCTGGGTCAACTAAGCGAAGAACTAGGCGTCCAGCAGGGTTGTGCGAGGCTTTGGGACTTCCCTCGGCTTTCCCCGTGGCCTCCCATCCCGCGGCTCACCTTTCCCACCAGCCGCTCCAACAGCCAGGTGTAATTCAGCATGAGGGCTCCGCAAGGGCGGCTTGCGCGGCGCCTCCGCGGTCCAGGCTGCCGGCAAAAGGGGGAGCCGGCTGTTCCTCCCCGCGGGCGGCTCCCGAGTGGGCAGCCCAGGCAGGGACGGAGCTCGGGCAGCCGGGAAGGGTCCGGGCGGAGGAGGAGGAGGAGGAGCCGGTGGAGGGGAGCGCCCAGCCGGCCGGGCGCGCTTTGCAACCCGGCGCCCGCGGGGCTTTGCGGCTCCTTTTGCAAAAGAGCCCCGGGATTATTAGGAAGGCTTGCAGACCCCCCCCCACCAATGCCCCCCCCCAGGCTCACTTACCGGCCAGAAGGCTCCGCAGAAGCGCCCCCGGGACCCCGAGCAGGCAGCGGCCAGGAGGGGAAGGAAGGGAAGGAAAGGCAAGGCAAGGAGGGAGGGACGGAGGGAGGGAAGGAGCTCACAGAAGCCGGCCGAGCCTCCCCGCCAATCGCTCCGAGCTCCTCCCCAAGGGACCCGGCGAGAGAGGGAGAGACGCCCAGGACCCCAGGGAGGCAACTCAAGGGAAAGAGAGCCTCTGGGTGTGTGTGTGTGTGAGAGAGAAACAAAGAGAAAGTGAAAAAGACAGGGAGAAAGAAAAAAAAGAGAGAAAGGGAAAGAGAAAGAGGGAAAAAAGTGAAAAAGAAAGAAAACGAGAAAGAAAGAAAAAAGAGAGCCAGAAAGACACAGAAAGAGAAAAAGACAGAAAGAGTAAGAAGTCAAAGAGAAAGGGGAGAGAGTGAAAAAGAAAGAAAGAGAAAAAAGTGAAAAGGAAACAAAGAGAAAGTGAAAAAGACAGGGACAGAGAGAAAGAAAAAAAGAGAGAAAGGGGGAAAAGAAAGAGAGAGACAGAAAGACACAGAAAGAGAAAAAGACAGAAAGAGTAAGAAGTCAAAGAGACAGGAGAGAAAGTGAAAAAGAAAGAAAGAGAAAAAAGTGAAAAGGAAACAAAGACAGTGGTGGGATTCAGCCGGTTCGCACCATTTCGGGAGAACCAGTTGTTAAACTTTCTGAGCAGTTTGGTGAACTGGTTGTTGGAAGAAATCATTAGGGCAGAGAACCGGTTGTTAAATTACTTGAATCCCACCACTGAACAAAGAGAAAGTGAAAAAGACAGGACAGAAAGAAAGAAAAAAGAGAGAAATATGGGCAAAAGAAAGAGAAAGGGACAGAAAGACACAGAAAGAGCAAAAGACAGAAAGGGAAAGAAGTCAAAGAGAAAGAGAAAAGAGAGAAAGTGGAAAAAAGAAAGAGAGACAAAGAGAAAAAAGAGACAAAGAGAAAGAGAGAGAGAAAGACAGAAACAAAAAGAGAGAAAGGGAAAGAAAAGAGAAAGGGAGAGAAAGAGAAAAAGAGAAAAAAAAGAGTCAGAGGCAGGCACAGACAGAGAGAGAGAGGAGAGAAAGAGAGGGGAAGGAGGGGCAGAGACTGGGAATCTCCATCCGGTGGAGCTGAAGTCAGCAAAGGAAGAGTAATAGGTAGCTCAGCTTCCTACTAACCAAAAGTGGCCCTTGTGGTGAAGAAACGCCTGGGCTAGAGAAGTGATTTGCCCTGTTTTCTTCCCAAATACACATGTGTGGGTACACATATGTATACACACATACATAGTCTCCCCCCCCTCTCTCTCTCTCTCTCTCTCTCTCCCTCTCTTTCACTCTCACACACAAACACACAATCTTGCCTATAGACTTGAGACTTCTGATGCCTTTCTTCCTCCAACTGCAATTGAGATACCACTGAGATACAACTAGCTTTTTGAGAACAGCTGAAGTCTTGGCTGGCGTTATCCACCGTTTGGACATATTCAGGATTATTTTATATGTCTAAAGTACAGGAACTACATGTCAATAAACCGATACTAATTCTTTGCTGTTTGTTAGTCAATATTACTTCCAATACAGCTAAAATCTTTTATTTTAATAAAAGAGTTTATTTTTTCCAATGTTTTGCTTACCTCCCAAAGTTCCTCCTAGCCGATCACGATGATATTTTCGGAGAGCCCGTAAAAATCCAGCTTTTCCGGGAAACATCAGTCAGATGGTGCTACCCACTGCAAATTAAATGCATAATTATATATTAGCCTTGTAAGCTTACTCCAAGTCTGCATGATTTCTCCAGATTGTTCCTGATGAGTTGTCAAAACAGGCTTAAAGTATATTATACTACAAGTTAGTTCCAAGCTGACACCTCCTGTTCATCTACCAAGTCTTGGCCTCAGTCTTCCCAAAAAGATTTTCAGGGGAGACTTGAAAACAGAGAAAAAAGCCAGAAGAGCTTTGAATGAAACTGAAGTCTCTGGTTTTAAATGAGGGTTTTTTCACATTGTTAATTTTCTTCTTAAGAAAAGTTTTCAAAGATACAGTTTGACATTTGAACTCGAGTTGGAACTAATTTTTCTGCAAAATGCAAGTAGTCCTCGCCTTTCAAGCATTTGTTTAGTGACCATTTCAAGTTACAACGGCACTGAAAAATGTGACTTATGTTTTCACTCTTATGACCATTGCAGCTGCCCCACAATCACGTGACCAAAATTCAGATGCTTGGAAACTGACTCGTATTTATGATGGTCACAGTGTCACATGATTTCCTTTTGCAACTTTCTGACAAGCAAAGTCATGCCAAGTTCACTTATCAACCATGTTACTGACTTAACTGCGGTGATTCGCTTAAAAACCATGGCTAGAAAGGTCGTAAGATGGGGCGAAACTCTCTTCACAACTGTCTCACTTAGCAACATAAATTCTGAGCTCAATTATGGTCATGAGCCGAGGATTTATGGACGTTTTTGCTTCTAATTTGCCCTCCTGAAAGGTTTCCAATTGCAAGTGAGCCAGGAGGATTTTCCCAACAGCAGACAATTCAATTAAAATGCCTATGCAAATTCTCAGTCATCCAGGTCATACCGTAGTTGTCTCAAAGGGGCTTTCTCAAAAGGCAACTGAACTGGGTTTTTTTTTCCCTTGAGGAAGAATTTAATTCATTTAAAATTAGATTAAGAATTTATTTAATGTAAAAAGTTCTCTGTAGCCTGGCCAGACTGAAAAGAAATAATGCAAGCATTTAGACATTGCAATCCACTCCGAGATGCTTAAGGGCCCCCATTCGAGGCAGAGAGAGATATAATATAACCCTAATTTGCTGGAACTACATAAACAACTCCAGCGGATGGGCTTCGTTTCCCTTTCGGTGGGGGATGGGTGGGGTTGCTCTTCCATAGGCTCAAATCATGACAAGCGAACCCGGAAACTGCGCGTCCCTTCCTGCGCTCGGGCGAGTCTACTTTCTTGCTTCTAGAGCCACGGGAAAGAGGGCGGCCGGCGTGCGTGCGTGCCTACGTCACAGTTTCGTGCGTCATGAGGAGCGCGGCGATTGGCGACGCACGGATGGCAGGGACGTGCCCTGCTGGCTATATGAGCTCCGCGGAGGCGCCTCCTCGGCCTTTTTCCGCCTCGTTCTTCGCTCGCGCCGGGGGCTGCCGCCACTAGCGCTCTTCCACCCGGCCTGCCGCCGCCCGCCCGCCCGCCGCCTCAGCCATGATCATCTACCGCGACTGCATCAGCCGTGAGCCGAAGCCCCCACCCCCACCCCGCGCCGCTTTTTTTTTTCTCCACCCCCCCCGCTCTGAACCTTACGGAAGGGTGGGGGAAGGGGAAGGAGGGGGTTCCCCTCGGCGCTGACTGCGCCTGCGCGGCCTGGCATTCCAAGCCGGGGAGCGCGCGCCGGACTCACCCTCGGACTGCGCCTGCGCTCCTCCGGTCTCTGGCGCTAGCGGCCTGGGAGGGAGGGGGGAAAGAGGAAGAAAAAAAAAAGGAAGCCAGCGCGGTGTGGACGGACCCCTCCCCCCCCACACAGGGAAGCTCCATTGTCTGCGCATGTGTGTCGCCAAGGCGCCGGCCGGGCGCCGGCCGCACTGCGCTTGCGCGAGAGGCCGGGAAGCGAGGGAGGGAAGGATGAGTCTGCTGCTGCAGTTGCCGCCGTCCGCCTATAGAGGGCGACAAAGGGCTTTGCAAGGAAGGTCTCGCCCCCTAATGGCCATGCGGGGTATTGCAGGCTGATTTTAATAAGGTTTCTTTTTTCTTCTCCATTTTTGGAGATATTTTTTTTTAGAATTTGGACAATTGTCTGTCTGGAAAGGCTGTTTAAAGCAGGGGGCTGGACTAGAAGACCTCTAAGGACCCTTCCAAGCCTATGATTCTGTTTTTCTCTCCCACCTGGGCTGTGGGGAGTTGGGGATTTTTTGGGTGGCGTCTGGCTCCCAAGTTTGGTGTTGCCTCCCTTTGATTTACAGCCAAGGTTACCTGGGGGGAAGAACAGGTGTGGCCCCTCCAGGTCTGGCCTACCTGGCTTGAAGCTTCCTATTTGCAAATTCTCCTTGCCTGCTTTTCTTGGAAGCTTCTTAGGCTGCAGAAGTAAAATGGCTGATGGTAAAAGTGGGGCTGGACTAGAAGACCTCTAAAGACCCTTCCAACCCTATCCATTCTATGCTTCTCGCCACCTGGGCTGTGGGGAGTTGGGGGAGGCCATGCTTTCTTGGAAGCTTCTTAGGCTGCAGAAGTAAAATAACTGGTGGCAAAGGTGGGCCTTGGGCCTGCTGTGAGGTGGGAGGGGAACTCCTCCCTGCCCCGTGTTGTAGAAACCTGGGGGCTCCTTATGGGGGAAGAAGAGCAAGAAGGTGGGTTTCGTATGGTGGGGAAAAAGCTTTCTCTATTTTCGTCCTCTTGCAGAAGATGAGATGTTCTCGGATATCTACAAAATCACAGAAGTTGCCAATGGCCTCTGCCTGGAAGTGGAAGGGAAGGTAGGTGAGAGACAGGCAGGGCAACGGAAAAAGATGGCTGGGTTGGCAGCATGGGGTACAGCTGGTCCTCAACATACGACCACAATTGAGCCCAAAAGTGAGAAATTAGTTAAGTCCATTTTGCCCATCTTATGTCCTTCCTTGACACAGTTACTAAGTGAATCACTGCAAGTTAAATTAGTAAACTGCTTAAGTGAATCTGGCTTCCCCGTTGACTGGTCACAAAAGAGGATCGCATGATCCCAGGACTCTGCAAACCGTCATAAATACAAGTCAGTTGCCAAGCATCCAAATTTTGATCATGTGAGCAGGGGGATGCTACAACAGTTATAAGTGTGACAAATGGTCATACGTCACTTTTTTCAGTGCCACTGTAACTTTGAAGGGTCTGTTATGTGGAGGGCAATTACTATCTAATAAGTATAAGTATAATTTTATTTCTATACCGCCCTTCTCCCGAAGGACTCAGGGCGGTGTACAGCCTATTTAAAAACACAAGACAAACATCAATTAAAAATTTAAAACTATTAAATAAATTCGGCTCAATTTAAAACCCCAGAAATTTAAAATACCCCAATTTAAAATTATTATGTTGATAGTATAATAATATATATATAATATATTTTATATATATTATAATATATTTTAAATAATAGCAACAAGATTGTTAGGTGCTTTTGACAGCAATAAAACCAAATTCTGGTTTTAACTTGAAGAAGTAGAGAGGATGAGCAGCTTTATTACCTGAATTATTCAGAATATGTTTTCTGTTATTTAGTGTATGGATTCTGACTTTAAAATACACTTGTTTGAATTAAGAAGAAAAGCACGTCGGCTCTAATGAATAAGCTTGTTGCAATCCTTAATGTTACGCTTGTCTTATCGGAGTTTCTTGGTTATTTTCAATGCTTCAGATGGTCAGCAGGAAAGAGGGTGAAATTGACGAGGCCTTGATTGGAGGAAATGCATCTGCCGAAGGCCCAGAAGGGGATTGCACAGAGGCCACGGTCATCACCGGGGTTGACATCGTCATGAATCACCACCTCCAGGAAACCTCTTTCACTAAGGAGTCTTACAAGAAGTACATCAAGGACTACATGAAGTCGTAAGTGGGGCCCTCCTCATGGGTCAAGTGAAGTTTGGATAGGTTTGATCACGGGCCTTTTGAAAAGCTTGTCCCAAAGGTGCTTTTTTCAGGAGGCACCTGGACTTCCTTTGAAGGCGTTTCGCTTCTCATCCAAGAAGCTTCTTCAGCTCTAGATAGTGGGGAATGGAAGGATTTATATTCCTTGCAGGCAGCTGGTCATTTGAGGACACGGATAAACCTCCAAGAGCTTCAATGACCCTCTAAAAGGATGCAAACGACCAGCTGTCTGCAAGGAGTATTAATCCTTCCATTCCCCACTATCCTGCCAGAGTTGAAGAAGCTTCTCAGATGAGAAGCGAAACGCCTTCAAAGAAAAAACAGGGAAGTCCAGTTGCCTCCTGAAAAAGCACCTTTGGGACAACCACGGCCTGGATGACTGAGAATCTCTACAGACTTTTAAAAAGCTTGTCAAATGCAGCCGCCTGTCTCTCTCTGTGGACCGAACTGGCTGCTGTACACGCTGGCTATATGGGGCGGGTGGGATATCTCTAATTCGTAGATCAGGTCAGACAAATAACCTTTGGGCTGGTAGGTTTGGAGATTTGGTAGGTGCAGGTATTCCTGGATTTAACAACTACAGTTGAGCCCAGCCATTGTTGCTAAGTGAGACGGTTGTTAAGCGAGGCTCGTCCCATTTCATTACCTTTCTTGTCCCACTTCTTAAGTGAATCACTGCAGCTGTTAAGTTAGTAACATGGTTGTTAAGTGAATCTGGCTTGTCAAAGGTGATCTCATAACCCCAGGTCACTACACCCATCATAAATACGAACCGTTTTATGACCTTTCTTGCCACTGTGGTTAAGTGAATCACCGCAGCTGTTAGTAACCTGGTTGTTAAGTGAACCTGGCTCTCCCATTGATTTTGCTTGTCAGAAGGTCGTACAAAGGGACCCTGCAACTGTCATAAGTACATGCCAGTTGCCAAGCCTCTGAATTTTGATCATGGGGATGCTGCAACAGTCGTGAATGTGGAAAAACTGCCATAAGCCACTCTTTTCAGTGCCACTCTTAAGTTTGAAGAGTCACTAAATGAACTGCTGTAACTCAAATATTACCTGCAGTTGCACCTCAGGTAGTTAAGCAGTGAGGAAAGAAAGCAGGAATAGCATCTATCCTAGTAAGAATCTGGGTTGCTGGCTTTACTATTGATTATTCAGGGACCAGGATAGAGGGGGTGTCTCCAGCTATTGTGTCTGTTCTGAGGGACAGCGGCATCAAAATTATGGCACATGTTCCATGATGCCCTTGCACAAACAGCACAATTGTTTAATTTTTTAATTTAATTGTTTAATAATTGTTTGATTGCTATCGGGCGCCCTTTGCTGACATTCTTCAGTATGGCCCAGGTAACCCAGGTAATTCTATACCACACTAGCTTTTGTGGCAGGGTGGATTTGATTTAAGTCACTAGTAAAAAGGCTTGATTTAAATCAACCCGATTTAAACCATAATTTTTAAAGAGCAGCTGTCACCTCTGCTGTGAAATTGTGTGAATGCATCAGTGCAGTGCATGTTATCTCAGCTTGCAGACCTTGGATTGAATGAGTTTACATTAAAAATGTACATATTGCAGCTACATATTGCTACATAACTGAGCTCCATTTCATGCTGAACAAACTAAATTATTAATGTATCTTAAATAGAAAAGTAAATTTAGATAGATTTTTATTCCAAAGGCATTTTATTAACGTAAATTTGATAAAAATAAAAGAAATCCAGTTTAAATTTTTTAAAAAACCGATTTTTTTAAAATCAATTTTTATCCACCCTGTTTTGTGGCCATGCGTAGATCTTTGAATCTTCCATAGTCCTCAGCTTACGACCATAATTGGAAAGCAGAATTTCTGTTGCTAAGCAAGGCCACAGTGAATTGCACCACAATTTTAATCTTCTTTTGCCACAAGTTGTTAAGTGAGTCACTGCAGTTAGAAGTGAGTCACTGCAGTTGTTAGGCAAATCTGACTTCCACGTCAGAAGCTGACTAGGATGGTTGCAAATGGGGATGACGTGACCCCCAGCATCATTTTTTTTTTCTTTCTCCAGAATCAAAGCCAGGCTTGAGGAAACTAAACCAGAGAGAGTAAAGCCTTTTATGACGGGGGCAGCTGAACAAGTAAAGCACATTCTTGGAAACTTCAAAAATTATCAGGTGGGTTCAAAAAGCCTCTTTGCTTCCCCTCCCAAAATAGATCAAGTCTATGTGACTCTATGGGGACGCGGTGGCTCAGGGGCTAAGACGCTTAGATTGTCGATCGAAAGATCAGCAGTTCAGCGGTTCGAATCCCTAGTGCCGCGTAACAGGGGGAGCTCCCGTTACTTGTCCCAGCTTCTGCCAACCTAGCAGTTCGAAAGCACGTAAAAAATGCAAGTAGAAAAATAGGGCCCACCTTTGGTGGGAAGGGAACAGTGTTCCGTGCGCCTTCGGCGTTGAGTCATGCCGGCCACATGACCACGGAGACGTCTTCGGACAGCGCTGGCTCTTCGGCTTTGAAACAGAGATGAGCACCGCCCCCTAGAGTCGGGAACAACTAGCACATATATGCGAGGGGAACCTTTACCTTTTATGTGACCCTGGCATTACTGTAATTTGCTACAGACTCAAAACACATTTTGTCAAATATCTGGATTTTATTTTAAAACGATTTTGGGTGTGGGTGGGGGGGCAGCTTTTTCAACTTCAAGTCTGACCGAAGAGGCAAGATTCTCTAAATTCTAAGGATCGACTAAGTTCAGTGTTTTGGGGACCCCCCCCCCCCCCCAATCTGGCCGTTCCATGTCTAAAATGTTAAATGTGCTGGGAGATGTCTAGGAAAAACCCCTCGTTTAGAAGTAGCCAAGCTTGTATCTTTTTAACGGGTGACATTTCTTCCTCTAGTTTTTTGTAGGCGAGAATATGAATCCAGATGGCATGGTGGGGCTACTGGACTTCCGCGAAGATGGCGTGACCCCCTATATGATTTTCTTTAAGGACGGATTAGAGATGGAGAAATGTGTAAGTATGGATTGACAAGGCGGGTAGGTAAGATGCAGACGGGAAACAGCAGCTCATAGCACGGAAGTTGTAGGTAGCCGAGTCAAGCTGTTAACAGAAGAGCAGACCAGTTCTAACAGCCGCCAGTTTTTGAAGTCTATAACCAGTGGAGGAACAAGACGGAGAATAATTCTTATTTCTAATGTTAACTTCAAACTTCACAGTAACTCTTGAAACATCACAGTTCTCCTGCTGTGGTCTTCCCCCATTTCATGGTCTTTCTTCATTAATACAGGCAGTCCTCAACATACAATCCCAATTGAGCCCCACTGTTTCTGTTGTTAAGCAAGACAGTTGTGAATGGCTTCCCCATTGTCAGGTGGCAAAAGCCTGAATTTTGATCAGGGGGCCAGGGGAATGCTGCGGCGGTGAACAAGTCCTAAGTCCCGTGTTTTCAGTGCCATTGTAAATTTGAACAGTCGCTAAATGAACTCTGGTAAGCCGAAGACTGCCTGTAATTAAAAAAAAAAAAAAAAGAGTATACCTAACCTGGCTGAGCTGTGTTAGTTCTAAAAAAAAAGTCTTGTTAATTAATCTTAAATTTTATATGTTGTGTTTTACCATGGCTGTTCACCGCCCTGAGTCCTGTTGGAGAAGGGCGGTATACAAATTAAATAAATAAATAAATAAGTAATAATAATAATAATAATAATAATAATAATAATAATAATAATAATAATAATAATCTATTCTGAATATTGCTGTTGAGGCCATTACAGCTGGCCTTTTCTTTTTCCTTCCCTTCCAGTGTTGTTTCTGGTTGAGAAGATGTTCATCCCACTTTCCTTTTTTTCAAACAACAATGTGTGTGTGTGTGTGTGTGTGAGAGAGAGAGAGAGATTTCTTTCCTTAAGGCTAAGCATCACCTGATAGGCCGGGAGCGATTCTGATTCCTCTCTGGCTTGCATTAAGATGCCAGAGTGACTCTCCCTGCGCTTTCTGCCTGCCCCGATTCCGTAGCAGCTCAGATTGAATAAGGGAGAACATTTTAAGAAAAAAGGGGGGTGATGGTGGAGGGGAATGAGATGCTGGTGTTGGGTCTGAAAAAAACGACCCGGTAACGATCGCAGGCGACTAACTTCCATTCATTCGTTTCTCAACAGTAACAAGACATCAAATCATTCCGAATCATTTGTCATCATAATTGGCTGCTGCTCTTTATTCATCAACAAAGCATCATGACTCAACAATGTCTGAAAAAAAAACAAAAAAACTGGACTGATTGATATCATCTTGAGCTTTAATTTGATTTATTTTGAAAAAAAAAAACCCTCCCCCCCGAATTATAATTGAAGTGTGGAGAGGCATTGGTTTTTGTTTTTTTTTTAAAGAGAAAAAACAAACTTGTCTTGTAGGCTGTCTAAAATAAAAAAAAAAAAAAAACACAAACTCATTTAAACCCAGCCTAGGTGATGCCTCTTGGTTTAATGTGTTGAGCGGGCTTCTCGTAGCTGTTGTGCATCAATAGAGTGGCCTTTAGTGGTTGTGTCTCCAGATACCGGGACCTGGAAACTGGAAGTTCAGTTGGCCACCCCCTGAACTTGCTTTTTTTTGTTGGGGGAAAAAAAAACATCTAACAAAGAAAGCAGCTTGACTTTCTGAAGCGGACTTGACACCTTTTTAACAACTCACGATAACTACTCGGACGACAATCCCGGGAGAGGCCTGGATGTGTGGTGTGGCTTTTGCACGCTAATCTCGAGTGTTTCACCAGCGAAGGAGAGAGAGAGAGAGATGGCAATTTTTTTTCGACAAAACATATCATGCTGATTGAGCAGAAAAGTGGGAAGAGAATTCTTGGCCGCGGAAACGAGAATATTGGGCAAACAACCGACACATTCGCGAGGCATTGCTTACGTGCTGTAATACGAAATAACTGTAATTTAAATACATGAGTATAATACCAATTGAATCGCGGGTTACTAAGTTTGCTTGTGTGGTGTATCAATTCCAGCCTGGAGCCCTTAGTTGTAGGTTTTAGTAGTAAACTCCTTGGAACACGGATCAAAGGGGAATGTGGCTTTTACATAGTAAACACTCTGGACTTCCTGTTCGAATTGTGCAAAGTTTGAAGTACTGGAATCATGTTGTTTTTTTCCCCAAGTAGTTAACTTGTAATTGGGGAAGTGGGGGCACAGATCCATATCACATTAGTTGAGAATTATTATACCTACCTTGTTTATTAGACCGAGTTATTTCTACCAGAGTTCTGGACAACCTTGATAATTCTACCGTGTTTCCCTGAAAATAAGATCCTGTCTTATATTTTTTTGAACCCTGAAATAAGCGCTTGGCCTTGTTGCCATGCACTCAAAAGTCTGATTGGGCTTATTATCAGGGGAATGTCTTATTTTGGGGGAAACTGGGTACGTCTTCTGGAATGTAGATGATAACAGAAAGTACACTGGAGATGATTATGTTGCTTCAAAAGAGAGAGGCCGATCTTTGCTCTCCGTATGGAGGGAAGGTGGGGGGGGGTGCCTGCAACAGAGATTCTTGAGATGACAAATTAGGAAACGCAAGTCAGCAAAACAGCTTTGCAGCATAATGTGTAGGGAAGGGAGCCCGATGTGTTGCCATAACAAGACTTAAGTCTTGAATGCTCTTTTGGAAGCTCAGTTGCACGAAGGACTTGTTGCCTGGTGCTTCTGTAAGCGGAAAGAAATGCTCAAAACCCTCAAAAATGTTTCCGTTCTATCAAAACCTCTCTTGGGTAAAAACCAGGCTAGGTAGGTTCTCTTTCAACCAGAATAACGAGACGGCTGCCTCAGCTTGGCACCCATGGTAACCTGTGCGTAGGTTTAGGATGGCCGAGCCCAGATTGAGCTGCTGTGGATTCTCTGCATCCAGGAGAATGGTAGATAAAGGCAGATGCGATTAAAAAAAAATAACTGCAAATGAAAAAGTGCCTTATTTTAGGGAATGGCAGTTTGAGTTGAGGGTTGAATCAATTTCACTTTTGTTATGGCCTTGCTTTTCTATAAAACTTAACCGTTGGCTGGTGGGTGGATAGATTAAAGAGAGAGAGGGGATTAATTCAATATAGGATAGATTGATGATAGAAGGACAGATACGATAGATGCATCCCTATTTAAATCTTATTAAATATGCAAGTCAAGCTATTAAAGTGTAGTTTCGGAGTTGTTTCTAAGGGGAATTGCTAGCTGTAATTGACAAGATAGGAAAGCAGATTGCTCTCTGGGTATTTTGTGTGGTTCTGGCATTTTCACTTGTGAGCAGCTGATCCTCTGTGTTTCAGTCATGTTCTACAGAGTACTCTAAATAGGCACACAGTCCTCCCCTCAAAGTAAGAGTTCTTTAGAATCCAACACCGGAGAGCTTTTGCTTTTTGGCACAGTTTTTTTGAAAAAAGGATTCTTAAAAACAATTCCATATTACATGGGTATATTAGAAGATAAATTGGTCATTAGGAGTAATGACAAAACATGTCATTACTCATTAGTATGAGTAATTTAGTTGATTACATTATTACGTAATTTAGTCATTACATTAGGAGTAAAAACAAAACGTGTGTTTTGTGTTACTAGGTAGAGCAAACACGTTCTATGGCCGAAAGTATTGCTTCCAAGGTAGTAGAGAGGAAATATCATTGGAGGAAATATCCTTCACGTAGAAGTGAGTGTGTGATAGTTTTTCATCTGTAGCTTTTCTTTTCTTGGGTCTTTCATAACCTTTTTGAAAACGGTCACGTGAAAGTTAAGCCAGTAGAGTGTTAATCGAAACTGTATTATTGGAAAACGTTTAACGTTTCTGTGATTTTAACATTCGCACGTGTGTTTTGGCTCGGCTTTGCTATTTTCACGAAATCACTTCTTTTAAATGTTTCCCTTCCTAGCTTAGATGTTAGGGGCTGGTGGTTGTTTTTGAAGCCTCTGTGACTTACCTCCTTTCCAATCTCTATTCTACAAACTCCAGGTACTTGACTAAGGAGCTTAATTCCTAAGAAAAAGGTCTTTTGTATGCACGGGGTAAGCATTTTCCATTTTAACCGTTGGCAGACTTTGAATCCGAAGCGATCCGTTGACGGACCGTATTCAAGCAAGCCTTGATTAAGGACTCTGCTGGGATAAATAGAAGAAAAGCACCAGTGTAAGATCTATTCATCGTACTGCCAGGCTTCCTGTTTTGATGCTTGTCCAATACATGAGGTTGGGCTTGGAGGAGCTGGTGTGTTCTGTGGAGGGGGGGAGTCCACAGTGCTCAAGTTTCTGTTGAGAAAGAGTTGCACATGGTCAACCCAAGTAGACCTGTCCAACTGTTCAAGAAAAGTCACCTATCGATGGGCAAAGTTATACCCTTTTGCTATTTCCTGGCCATCAAGACCCGGATCTTGTCACTCATTCGATTCTGTGACACTCTTCACTGCAACAGGACTATTTCAGTGCATAAAACCGGGCGTCTTTATTCTTGAAAGTTTCCAAGAAGACAAGACTTAAAAACAGCTGGATAAAAATGTCTCTGGAGATTCTTGGTCCTCCAAGTCATGGTTGTCCCAAAGGTGTTTTTTTTTTCTTCCAAGGGGCAACTGGACTTCCTTGGTTTTTCCTTGAAGACGTTTCGCTTCTCCTCCAAGAAGCTTCTTCAGCTCTCATTCCCCACCATTCTTCAGTCAGAGCTGAAGAAGCTTTCTTGGATGAGAAGCGAAACCTTTTCCAAGAAAAACCAGGAAGTCCAGTTGCGTCTTGAGAAAAGCACCTTTGGGACAGCTGGATAAAAAGTTTTTTAAGTCTAGGAAGACTGTCCGTTCCTAAGTACCTAGGCCTGAAGCAGCAGGGGTCTGTTCCCACAGAACAGGGGTGCCAAACTGAAGGCCTGGGGGGGCCGGATCCAGCTTGTGGGGTGCTTAGATCTGGCCCGTAGGCCTGCTCTGGAAACAACGAAGGACCGGCCTACGGTGCCTCCGCCAGCAAAAACGGAGCTCGGGAGGGCTGGGTGCAACCCTCCCGAGCTCAGTTTTCGCTGGCAGAGGGTTGCAGGAGGCCATCACAGCTAAAAATGAAGCTCGGGAGTCTGATTTTGCTGGCAGAGTGCTTGGGCCACCACAGGCGCTCCCCCGACACGGATGACATCGAGCCCCCCCCCCCCCCCCCCGATGCAGCCCTCAATGAAATCAAGTTTGACACCCCATAGAAGAACCAGCCTAAGAGTATTCAGGCTATTACAATGTAAAATGTGGGTTGCAGGCAGGACCAAATGCAAAACATTTATTAGAATAACAAGAAGGGACCTTGGAGGTCTTCTAGTCCAACCCTCTGCTCAGGCAGGAAAGGCATGTAATCTTAAAACATGTAACCTTCAGGTCAAGAGCCAGAGAAGCGTTGACGTTTGATGCGAAGTCCAAACTTCATTTTTAAATTGGTGGTGGTGGTGAAAAATTCATGGGAGCCGCTTTTAACTCTTCCATTATTTATTCTTGAACGTTTCCGATAGACTTGGTTTTATTTTAATAATCCCTTTGGCAACATCTCTATAAATTGTAACGTTCAGTCCTGCCGTGTTTTGTCAGGAACGTCTTTTGCTCCCTGCTTTGGATGAAAAGTTGAAGCGCTTGCCATTTTAAGGGAATTCGGTCCGCCACATTTTATAAAACGCTTTTATGGAAATGTGTGTGTGTACACAAACCTGACACTCTTCCGTGGCAAAGAAAAATGCTTTCCCCCCAAAATCTCTAGATTTTCACAACTGCGACTTGAGATCCCCCTTTCCTGAAAATTGCTATCCAATCCCACACGCAATATTCCAGATAAACTTACCGATGTTAGTTTTGAAATACTCTTGTGAGAAGGTCTCTATTTACACACACATATACCTCTTTCTATTAAAAAAATGCTGAAATGGTTTACAACAATTTAAAAGATGTTACAAAATCAAAAAGATGTCAGAGGCTTAGTGGCCAGCAAAGATCAGTGTTTGAAAGCCAAATCTTGGGCGAATCTTGGGCTGGTTTGAACTGGCCATGAAAGGCAGA